CTGTGAGTCGACACAATCCTGTCTCGGAGCTCTACGGACGATCCCTTCGACCTCATGGCTTGGTTCTTGCTCTGACATGCACTGTCAACTGTGGGACCTTATATAGACAGGTGTGTGCCTTTCCAAATCATGTCCAATCAATTGAATTTACCCCAGGTGGACTCCAATCAAGTTGTAGAACCATCTCAAGGATAATCAATGGGAACAGGATGCACCTGAGCTCAATTTCGAGTCTCTTGGCAAAGGGTCTAAATACTTATGTAAATAAGTGTTTTTTATTTTTAATACATTTGCAATCATTATGGGGTATTGTGTGTAGATTGATGAGAGAAGAAATACAATTTTATCCATTTTAGAATAAAGCTGTAAAGTCAAGGGGTCTGAACACTTTCCGAATGCTCTGTACATGATGCATTTCCTACTTTTACTTATGCAGGACAATAAAACTAAGGCATATAATGTATCAGTAATTGCGAAATGGAATTATAGTCAACCTAAAATATTGTCATACAATTATAAAGACAGTTTTAGACCAATTTCCTATATAAATAGCCTCTAAAATATATGTAAACAGACTCGTTTTTGTTGTCTTGGAAAGCTGTGAGTCCTATTATATCATACAATATCAGTACTTGTTGCATTTACAACTTGTCTAAGTCCTATCATCAACTGATTTCAACCAGTCTATGGCTGTGGATTGACTGCATTGTTTGAATCAAATGTTGGCATATTGGCAGTTAATGGGAAAAATTTATGGACTCATTCCTCTAAAACTAGCTAACAAACATACAGTGCAGATAAAGTCTTCAAATTCATTATTTTACACAATATCTTAATCACAGCACTGGCAAACCATGGTTGACCAACTCCCTGAACAAAATGGCTGACTTTTATCCCATCATAGAAGGTTCATGTCCATTCTAGTATTCTAATTCCTAATTCTATGGAGGAAACATCATCTCATGGGGTGAGTCTCAAATGGCACCCTATTCTCTATATATTGCACTACTCTTGACCTGAGCCCATAACTAACATTGATCTACCAGGGAAACACTGAAGGAAAAGAACAGGTCACTAAACTCTTTTAAGGAACATCAACAAACTTCATTCACTTTAATCTGTGGTGAGGTTAGTGTGTGTGTGTGTATGTATGTATGTGTCAGTGAAATATGCACTCCCGTGGCGGAGGACACTAGTACACGCCTGCACCCTCCCCCTCTCCTCCACTCCCGCCCCCTCTATCCCTCCCGGCGTGCTCCCATCCCATAATGTTTTTGTTTTTTTTGTCTAGTCAGAGCTCCACACAACAACCCACTTCGCTCTCTCTGTGTCCTCACGTTCAGAAACACATGATACAAATTATGAATCTGGTTATGTGTGACCATACAGCAGTCAAGACACCGAGGAGGGATGAGCCATCAGGGGTTCTCTCCCCCCCCAAAACATAAACTCCATCAGAGTATGACTCCAATCACTGTTCATGTGTTGGTTGTCATATGATTTGTTGTCATTCCTTCCCAACTACTGATATGTCGTCACACAAATCAAGTGCTAGTCTGAACTCTCACAGGATGCATTTTGTCCCATTGTTTACATGTCTGTGGGTGGTCCAGGCCCCTCTTTCTCAGTCTGCTGAGGTGATATGAAAGTAGAGGGCTTCATGTTTCTAGAAACGTACCGCAATTGAGAATCGATTCACCTTTAGATGGAGTACTTGGCTGTTTTGGCTTCCAGAGCCAATTCGCCCTTTAAAACAGAACGTGCAAGGTCTTTGGACTAAAGAGTAACGTTAGATTCCTTTAGTCCAAAATTGGGTTATGGTTTCGCTAACCAAATCGTCAGTCCTAGCTTGCTATTAAGAACATCGAATTTAATAATGCCAATAATATTTTCAATTTGACTTTTGCTTTCAAAAGCAGCTCAAACATAGAACATGTAAGAATGAACTTCATAGCCACTGAAATACACCGTGCATTACAGGGAAATAATGCGCGCTCTAGAATGCCCTTAAAGCCAATCAGAAACAAGTATTCAACAATGCCATGGTATAAACAGTTATAATGCATCGCATTACAACTTGTAAGTCCTTGTTTGGTCTAGTTTATATGTCACCTCTACTGTAAGTCCTTGTTTGGTCTAGTTTATATGTCACCTCTACTGTAAGTCCTTGTTTGGTCTAGTTTATATGTCACCTCTACTGTAAGTCCTTGTTTGGTCTAGTTTATATGTCACCTCTACTGTAAATATCTAAAGGAACATCTTGTCATAAACTGGAAACATGACTTGAGGTCTATTTAGTGGTCCCTTCCTTCCTTTGCTCTAAACAAACTGTCATATTATTCAAAGAAAGGGCCAGCAACAGTACGAGTGGACGCTCATGAACTCCATGGTAGCTGGTTACTATGGTAACTACTCTAACAGTACGTGGTCCTCTGTAGCTCAGCTGGTAGAGCACGGCGCTTGTAACGCCAAGGTAGTGGGTTCGATCCCCGGGTCCACCCATACACAAAAAAAAAAAATGTATGCATGCATGACTGTAAGTCGCTTTGGATAAAAGCGTCTGCTAAATGGCATATTATTATTATTATTATTATTATTTACTAACTGCTGTAGTCAGTACCTCCAGAAGACAAGGTCTCGAGGTAGGCAGACAGGCTTGTGCTAGTTGTTGGCTCCCCGCATCTGTAATTATTTACGTGCGTTCCCTGACCTCACATACCGAGCCGCCCCGGTGCTTCGTTTTCCCTCTCTCACCGGTAGCCGTCTGGCGGTGACGGCATAATTCAGGAAACTAGAAACTGAAGTTTTCAAAGTAAGAAAAAAAAAAAAAAAAAAAAGGAAAGGAAAACGTTTTTCCAACTGCCGCTGCATGAGAAGGGGGGACGATTATTACCATTTTAGGGCACGCAAGCTCACATCCAAGCCCAACCCTTCTAACCACACTGCTTACTCAGATTCCATCCAATTTTCTTCCCTCTTTTTTCAAAGCAAAAAGGAAAAGTGTGGGAGAGAGAGAGAGAGAGAGAGAGAGACACAGACAAGACATACAGACAGACAGAGAGAGAGACAGACAGAGACAGAGAGAAAACGAGAGAGCGCAAATGTTTTCACCCATTCTTGAAATACTTTCATTTGAACTACTCCATTGCTCAGTCTTGTCCAGTCATACTTGGGCAAATAGCTCTGATCTGAACCAATCACTCCCTTTACAAAAAAAGTGCAGTAACTGCAGTCGACTGTGGTATTTTGGACGCAGTAATTTCAGAATAATTATTATACTGCACTATAACTGCAGGTACACAGCAAAAGTACTGCAGCCAAAAAAAAACAGTATTATTTTGGAAGCAGGATTTGTAGTGTACTGCAGTAATACTGCAATCTTTTTTCTTAAGGGTCTTCAATTATATTATAGGCCTATCAATCCAATGCACCATCAACACTAACAAAAACAAGTATCTTCTGTTGTGTAATTGTATGTTAATTAGGCCTGAATCAACACATAGACCATTACCAGTATATGGTTGACATCACCAGAAATTAGGCAGATTGGAAGGTCTACAATAGAAGGAGAGGAGAGGAGAGGAGACGGTAGGGGAAGAGGAGAGGAGATGGTAGGGGAAGAGGAGATGAGACGGTAGGGGAAGAGGAGAGGAGATGGTAGGGGAAGAGGAGACATGATACAGCAGTTGGATGTAGGAGCGCATGTCTGACATCTGTTGCTCCGAGAGGTGGGCGGACTATTTCCACTATTAATAGTTTTTTCTAGCGGGGGGGGGATGGGTGTACAGGAGATTAGGCCATTCATCAGGGCTACAGACACTATGCTGCTTCAATTACAGGCTAGCCGGCTGCTTTTACGCATGATGATAAAACACAAATCCTTCATGTAATGTTTATGCTAGTCAAATCTTCCAGTAGGCTAAACCCTATTCGAAAAAAAAAAAGTTTTTGTAAATTTGAAATTTGACAAATGTTTTACCCTACCTAACTCGGAGCTTAATAAATGTAGTGTAAAAAACATTAACAAAAAATTGCTAAATCTTATTTGTTTGTTGTCATGGTCCAATATATTTTGGCCAATAATAATGTTCCCAAGATCCAACCGTCAAAGAGCCGTATCAATGTCAAAGTAGCCTACAGGTTGCCTGCCTGCTGCGCTTATATGTCCCTCTGCCCTCTCATCTCGGCTGCATTCAGAGGTGGAGGTAGAGGCATCAAAACACCTTTACCCACCGGGAAGGCCTCGGAGCTAGATGGATCACACGGTAAAATGTATTCTATTCACCTTTCTCTGCTGTTTCTCCCACGCCGGGTCCAACAGCATATCCCGGTCCCAGTCATCTTCCTGAGGCATATAATCGTTTTCATCTCCGTCATACGGGTCCATGTCGAAAGTAGGCATGGATTATACTTCCTCGCGCTCCTGTGTTCCCCGGTACGGTACTCGGCGGTGGACCGGAGGTGATGTTGCAGCAGTACTTTACCGTCTCCCGCACGCTCAAGACCGTGTGGATGAAATTAACGGTCCCCCGGCTTCACTGTATCTCTCTCGCTGCTAACTCTTTTTCTCTCGCTCTCTCTCTCTCCGCAAACTCACACAAGCCCCTCACCTTCTGTCTTTCTTTTTCTATCCAACAAATGTTTTTTCACCCACCCATCTAAAGCGGGTAAGTAGGCAGGTCCTTGGCAAACTACAACGTGATTGGATACAAGGGAGTTATATGGCCCGCCCACCATCAACAAGTCCAACATAATTGGCTGTAGCAGCAGTCAGTGCAGAGACTTTTAATGTGGGTTATGTGGACTGTATTAGCATAGGTTGCCGGATACTTTGATTGGGATACATCCTAATGTGTCAGTGTTTCATTTCATTCAAAACAATGCAAATTTAGACCTAAGTAAGTAAAGCGCGCAAATTTTACCACCCGTATTACGGTAATTTACCCTTTCAGTCTACTGTGTATACCTACGCCAAAAGCGCACATCCCCCTAGCAGTAACCTACTGGTAGCTGGAGGCTATATTCCACCTGGAAGAGGAGACCACACCCATCCTTCCCGTCATCTATCAGAAAGATAGACGGACAGGCAACTTGTTGACAGACGGACAGGCAACTTGTTGACAGACAGACAAACACGCGCCATCTAGGCAGGGGTTCCCAAACCCCCCCCCCCAGCATTCAGGAACATCCCGATTCTATACATTTTGGCATGTCTAATGTAATATGAGTGACAAAAACATTAGGGAATTGATCTAGGCAACTTGTTGATAGATGTCCATGGAGCAGCAATGACTGAGGTTAAAGCCTACAGTGACTTATTTAACACTGATGGCTAAATAATAATCTTTATGTGCCAGACATGGAGTCTGTAACATGTTTAATTGTTCATTAATTGGAAATAAACAAGCCAACAATTCCCCATGTATTTACGCACTCCAAATGGCTGAAGCAATTTCAGGACAATTCCAATGAGTATTTTAGTAGCTAGGTTTCCATCCAATTGGTGACAGATTTTTATGCGAATATTCTAAAATCTGCATTAAAAACCAATTTGCGCATTTTCCCACCAGAGATGTTTTTCCATCAAATTGACTTGTTTAATAAAAGGATATGTGTGATGACATAGTGCACATAAAAACAACTTCTGTGATTAAAATTCCCAACGTACCAAATAAAAAAATATGAGTTAAATAAGTTTCCACCTTATTTTCACCTTTGCTGATTGTTTTTGTCACAAATAATGTTTGTGTTGTGTAGCCATTGTGCCCACTCTGATATTGGCACCTGGCCTCTAGCCAACAGCTCGCAGATACAGTCCGGGTATATCACCTACATGACGAGATTATTATGGACAAAAAGAGCGAGATCAGTTTTATTTGTCAAAATGGCAGCCAAGCATTGATCATCATGTCACACCAGAACAAGACCCTTGATATTTATGGTAAAGTAACATCAAACTAATCACCGTGCACTTTCACCACAATATGTATTTAATCTGTAGCCTAACGAACTGCATGCTTTCGCGAGTCATAGCGGGAGGACCGCACAACATGACATCACGTGACTCAAACTTTACTTAGATATGATGGTTATTATATCAATATTTGAACATAAAAAGCATTTCCACCATTTCTGGCATAATTAACTTTACAGACACAAAAAGATCCCACCTTGTCTACATTTGGAAAGTTTACAGACAAATATGCTGTTTCCATCAGGCCTGTCATTACTTCTTTTTTTTTATCAGACATCTACTTTACTTGCATAAAAAGGTTGGAAACCTGGTTGCTGTTAATATTTTAGAATGCTGTTCATAGACTACAGCTCAGCGTTCAACACCATAGTCCCCTCAAAGCTCATCACCAAGCTAGGGACCCTGGGAATGAACCCCTCCCTCTGCAACTGGATCCTGGACTTCCTGACAGGCCGGCCCCAAATGGTGAGGGTAGGCAACAACACCTCCGCCACGCTGACCCTCAACACGGGGGGGCCCCACAGGGGTGCGTGCTTAGCCCCCTCCTGTACTCCCTGTTCACGCTAACGACTGCGTGGCCATGCACAACTCCGTCACCATCATTACGTTTGCTGACGACACAACGAATGGTAGGCCTGATCACCAACGGTGATGAGTCAGCCTACAAGGAGGAGGTTAGAGACTTAGCAGTGTGGTGCCGGGACAACAACCTCTCCTTCAGCGTCAGTAAGACCAAGCAGCTGATCGTGGATTATACAGTGCATTAGTGAGGTCGGGCACTGATGTTGGGCGATTAGGCCTGGCTCGCAGTCGGCGTTCCATGGGGTTGTTCGATGGGGTTGAGGTCAGGGCTCTGTGCAGGCCAGTCAAGTTCTTCCACACCAATCTCGACAAACCATTTCTGTATGGACCTTGCTTTGTGCACGGGGGCATTGTCATGCTGAAACAGGAAAGGACCTTCTCTAAACTTCTGCCACAAAGTTGGGAGCACAGAATTGTCTAGAATGTCATTGTATGCTGTAGCGTTAAGATTTCCCTTCACTGGAACTAAGGGGCCTAGCCTGAACCATAAAAAACAGCCCCAGACCATTATTCCTCCTCCACCAAACTTTACAGTTGGCACTATGCATTCGGGCAGGTAGCGTTCTCCTGGCATCCGCCAAACCCAGATTCATCCGTCGAACTGCCAGATGGTGAAGCGTGATTCATCACTCCAGAGAACACGTTTCCACTGCTCCAGAGTCCAATGGCGGCGAGCTTTACACCACACCAAGTCACTGGGCTCTTCAGTAAGGCCATTCTACTGCCAATGTTTGTCTATGGAGATTGCATGGTTGTGTGCTCGATTGTATACACCTGTCAGCAACGGGTGTGGCTACAATAGCCGAATCCACTAATTTGAAGGGGTGTCCACATACTGTTGTATATATAGTGTATGTAGCTCCATTCTTGTGTATTTAATTTAATTATTTGTGTTACTATTTTATTTATTTTTTAAACTGCATCATTGGGAAGGGCTCGTAAGCAAGCATTTCACGGTAGAGGGCATTTGATTTGACGTACTGTGCCACCGGGCGGCTTCCATGGCACAGTCTATCTACCTTGTAAGGTAAAACCACATACTGAAACTCTTCGCTGCATGGAGGCCTCGCTCCTCTCCCTCGCTCAACTCCCTGCCCTGCTCTCAGGGAAATCTAAACTGCATAGCCTACACCGGGTAGCCCTGGTCGGTCTCAAATATTTCATAGCTACATGACACTGGAGCGCTCTTCCATATATGGACAAACTTCCAAGCGGGTGAATGTTTGGGAAAGTGATGTCACAGATTAAGAGCAGACTGCCAACTCACTGAATGGTCTGTGTTTAAAGAGGCAGCAGGATGCAGACCAAGACAGTGTAGCCTACAGTCTGAGACAAGGTTAAGACAAGGTTAAGACAGTGTAGCCTACAGTCTGAGACAAGGTTAAGACAAGGTTAAGACAAGGTTAAGACAGTGTAGCCTACAGTCTGAGACAAGGTTAAGACAAGGTTAAGACAAGGTTAAGACAGTGTAGCCTACAGTCTGAGACAAGGTTGAGACAAGGTTAAGACAGTGTAGCCTACAGTCTGAGACAAGGTTAAGACAGTGTAGCCTACAGTCTGAGACAAGGTTAAGACAGTGTAGCCTACAGTCTGAGACAAGGTTAAGACAGTGTAGCCTACAGTCTGAGACAAGGTTAAGACAGTGTAGCCTACAGTCTGCCACAAGGTTAAGACAGTTGATCTGTTTTTCACAGCTAGGGAGAGGAAGGGGAGGGTTGCAGACAGGGAAGGAGCATTTCTTCTAGGGTTCATTATTATTTCTCAAAGAAACATACATAGGTTATTTCTATGTAATTACCAATAAATACCTGGTAATTTCTGTCCTGGAGGAGGAGGAGAAAGGACAGATTGTGTGAATGAATGGGTCTCTGGAAGACCCACTTTTCTTCCTGTCGAGTCGACCCTAGATGACGGCTCCTGATAAGGTTGAACTGATCACAAACACATAACAAGCTACAATAACATACAAAACACCTCGAGACAACAGAGTAGTAAGAAAAGGAGTAAGATTTAGATTGAGATTGAGATTCAGATTCATCTCTGAAGCGGTTGTGTAAAGAGCCTGTGTGTGTGTGTGTGTGTGTGATCATTCTCTGGCCTCTACACAAGGCATTCCAACCATGTTGAAGTGAATACAAAATGCAGCCATCCTACCTTCAGTTGCAGAGATCTTTCCTTGTATGGGAAAACTAACTGGGAAAACAATGACAATGTTTTTAATAGTTTTATAAAGTTTTACGAGAGTTATGTTCCCTTCTCAAAACAACGAGGGCAGAATGTGTGTGGCCTTAGTGCCCTATGCTTTAAATGTGACTTCGTCTTTGTTCAAAAACGAAATATTTCCCAATTATCATTTCTAAGAAAATCCTGCTAACCACAAAAACTAAACTTGACTAATTCTGCTGAAAAGCCGCCAGGGGAAGTGAGAGAGTAGTGAAGGGTGTCTGTTTCATTTAGATGTACATTTTAGTCATTTAGCAGACACTCTTATCCAGAGCCACTTACAGTTAGTGAGTGAATACATTTTTCATACTGGCCCCCCGTGGAAATTGAACCCACAACCCTGGCGTTGCAAGCGCCATGCTCTACCAACTGAGCTACAGGAGGGCCTGTAGATAAATTATGCATTCCAAATAGGGCTCTGGTCAAAAGTAGTGCACTACATAGGGAGCCATTCTCTGGTCTAAAGTAGTGCACTATATAGGGAATAGGTGCCATTCTCTGGTCTAAAGTAGTGCACTATAGAGGGAATAGGGTGCCATTCTCTGGTCTAAAGTAGTGCACTATATAGGGAATAGGTGCCATTCTCTGGTCTAAAGTAGTGCACTACATAGGGAATAAGGTGCCATTCTCTGGTCTAAAGTAGTGCACTATATAGGGAATAGGTGCCATTCTCTGGTCTAAAGTAGTGCACTACATAGGGAATAGGGTGCCATTCTCTGGTCTAAAGTAGTGCACTATATAGGGAATAGGTTGCCATTCTCTGGTCTAAAGTAGTGCACTATATAGGGAATAGGTGCCATTCTCTGGTCTAAAGTAGTGCACTACATAGGGAATAGGGTGCCATTCTCTGGTCTAAAGTAGTGCACTATATAGGGAATAGGTTGCCATTCTCTGGTCTAAAGTAGTGCACTATATAGGGAATAGGGTGCCATTCTCTGGTCTAAAGTAGTGCACTATATAGGGAATAGGTTGCCATTCTCTGGTCTAAAGTAGTGCACTATATAGGGAATAGGTTGCCATTCTCTGGTCTAAAGTAGTGCACTATATAGGGAATAGGGTGCCATTCTCTGGTCTAAAGTAGTGCACTATATAGGGAATAGGGTGCCATTTGGGACACATCCACAGTGACCGCTTGGCCCGAAGGTCACACTGCTGTGGCCAGAAGCACTAAGTGGAGACTAGAGAAGTAGCACAAATAGCTTGATTACCCTTTACAGATCAGTCTGACAGTCAGTCCGGCCTCAGATCATCACATGACCAGGAAGGCAAAGATATAGAATGACTAGCAGGTGCTCTAGAATCAACACTTAGACCAGGATAATAATATAATATGCCATTTAGCAGACGCTTTTATCCAAAGCGACTTACAGTCATGCGTGCATACATTTTTGTGTATGGGTGGTCCCGGGGATCGAACCCACTACCCTGGCGTTACAAGCGCCGTGCTCTACCGGCTGAGCTACAGAGGAGCTACAGGATAACCTGTGGTGATAACCTATGATAACCCACCAATAGGTCTGTCTGGTCTGGCAGACCCATGATAGCCTGGTCCCAGATCTGTTTGTGCTGTATCCAGCTCCTAAGGGACCATATTGGACTACAGGAGTTTAATGAAGCACAAACAGATCTGGGTCCAAGCTAGGCCAATGAGGATATAGAAATAGAATGATTAGACTAGCTTCTATATCTATGCATGAGGCCATGTCAGGTATAGAACAAGATATAATTGTCAGAATCGTGTCAGCTCGATTCATTCTATTTCTGTCTGCGAGGTTCAGAATGTCACTTGTCCCTCTGCGTCATTGTTCCGATGAATGCCGAAACGTCAAGCTTTTAATAATTGCTCAAATAAATCATATGTTTTTATTAGTGAGCGAGCGTTAGGCCTTTTCTTTTTTTAATGAGGTTCAGGTTTCACATCACTAACTAAGTCCCAGGCTGAGCCCAGGACTAGGGTTGTGGCAGTCATGAAATTTGTCAGCCGGTTATTGTCATGCGAAAGACTGCCGGTCTCACCGTAAATTGACCGTTAATTAACATAAACACATTTAGCATCTCCAGGCCTCCACGCATACAAGCTGCTGATGCCTGCCTTTGGAACACAATTATATAGTCTCTTCTTCCTATTGGTGTCCTTTAGTAGTGGTTTCTTTGCAGCAATTCGACCATGAAGGCCTGATTCACACAGTCTCCTCTGAACAGTTGATGTTGAGATGTGTCTGTTACTTGAACTCTGTGAAGCATTTATTTGGGCTGCAATCGGAGGTGCAGTTAACTCAGGTGCAGTTAACCTCCGCAGCAGAGGTAACTCTGGGTCTTCCTTTCCTGTGGCGGTCCTCATGAGAGCCAGTTTCATCATAGCGCTTGATGGTTTTTGCGACTGCACTTGAAGAAACTTTCAAAGTTCTTGATATGTTTCCGAATTGACTGACCTTCATGTCTTAAAGTAATGATGGACTGTCGTTTCTCTTTGCTTATTCGAGCTGTTCTTGCCATAATGTGGACTTGGTCTTTTACCAAATAGGGCCATCTTCTGTATACTACCCCTACCTTGTCACAACACAACTGGTTGGCTTAAACGCATTAAGGAAATAAATTCCACAAATTAACTTTTAAGAAGGCACACCTGTTAATTGAAATGCATTCCAGGTGACTACTTCATGAAGCTGGTTGAGAGAATGCCAAGAGTGTGCAAAGCGGTCATCAAGGCAAAGGGTGGCTACTTTGAAGAATCTAAAATTTGTTTAACACGTTTTTGGTTACTACATGATTCCATATGTGTTATTTCATAGTTTTGATGTCTTCACTATTATTCTACAATGTAGAAAATAGTAAAAATAAAGAAAAACCCTTGAATGAGTAGGTGTGTCCAAACTTTTGACTGGTACTGTAGACTAGTAGACAGTACAGCCAACCACAATGACTACTAGACAGTACAGCCAACCAGCCAGGATGACATACACTACTAGACAGTACAGCCAACCAGCCAGGATGACATACACTACTAGACAGTACAGCCAACCAGCCAGGATGACATACACTACTAGACAGTACAGCCAACCAGCCAGGATGACATACACTACTAGACAGTACAGCCAACCAGCCAGGATGACATGCACTACTAGACAGTACAGCCAGCCAGGACGACATTGACTACTAGACAGTACAGCCAGCCAGGATGACATACACTACTAGACAGTACAGCCAGCCACGATGACATACACTACTAGACAGTACAGCCAGCCACGATGATAGACAGTGGCTCTGTGAACTCATTGGCATCATGGTTTCCAAGACAGCCGGCTACACTAACAACACTACCACTGTTAGGGAATCTGTTTCTGTGTCCCAAATGACACCCTATTTCCCTTTATAGTTTATGAAAGTTCGATCAGGAAGGCTTGTCTGATGAATAATAATAAGCCACTTAGCAGACGTTGTTATCCAAAGCGACTTACAGTCATGCGTGCATACATTTTTTGTGTATGGGTGGTCCCGGGGATCGAACCCACTACCCTGGCGTTACAGGCGCCGTGCTCTACCATGCTGAGCTACAGCTGGTAATCCAGTAAGCATACCATCATTCACTCCATTTCCTATTCTACGGGCAATAGTGGGAATGAATCCAAACGTAGAGTATAATCATCATCAGTCAAATGTATCCTCCTCTTTCCTATTAACCATGTGCAGCAAGTCATTCACCTATTTACCTTGTGGCCTATAGGCACGGCACAATAATGCACATTCCTCACGCTTGCTGTTTAACCTATGGGCTCACCTTCCTCTCTCTCAACCAATGGGAGTACATCTTGGGATGTATTTACATGTCAACTTAACCTTGTTCTCTCACTTGCTGTTTTTTCAGCAACAGTTTCCCCTCGGAGACGAGGCCATTCCCCAAACTGTTTAATAAAAGTTCCATTCAGTCTTTTTTATTCATTCACAGAAGCCTGTACTCGATTGAACTACTTTTGACCAGGACCCACAGGGATAGCAGTACACTACATAGGGAGCCATTTGGGACACATCATGTTTCTGTCTGAGAGCGTGTGGCTTCTTTCTTATCGGTTGTATTTTTGACTTTATGTTTTGTTTATTCCATATGTAACTCTGTGTTGTTGTTTTTATTGCACTGCTTTGCTTTATCTTGGCCAGGTCGCAGTTGTAAATGAGAACTTGTTCTCAACTGGCTTACCTGGTTAAATAAAGGTTAAATAAATAAATAAAATAATAATAATAATAATAATCTGATCAAAAGAAGTTAGTCCTTTTATGGTTACTTAGCTCACTACTAGTCACTGTGAATGAAGTCTTATTTTGCTAAGAGACCTAGCCTACATCAACCCTGTGGAATTCGTCTCCCATCAATTACACTGAAACTGCTGTTAGTGGCATACTTAGAAATATTACTCAATATCGAGACGGAAATTGTATTCAATATGAAAATAAAAAGGTGGATAAATACAGTACATTAGATTCACAAACCGTGACACAGGAATGTGTGGATCTACAGGTCTCAAAAAAAACTCAACCCTCTTTTTCTTGTCAACTTTTGTTTAGTCCAGGGCTCGCCAACCCTGTTCCTGGAGAGATACCCTCCTGTAGGTTTACATCTATCTAGTCCAGGGTTCTCCAACCCTGTTCCTGGAGAGATACCCTCCTGTAGGTTTACATCTATCTAGTCCAGGGCTCGCCAACCCTGTTCCTGGAGAGATACCCTCCTGTAGGTTTACATCTATCTAGTCCAGGGCTCTCCAACCCTGTTCCTGGAGAGATACCCTCCTGTAGGTTTACATCTATCTAATTACATAGATCATACGTTTCCTGTAGGTCTTGACCAGGTTTGCACACACTGCAGCAGGGATTTTGGCCCACTCCTCCATACAGACCTTCTCCAGATCCTTCAGGTTTCGGGGCTGTCGCTGGGCAATACGGACTATCAGCTCCCTCCAAAGATTTTCTATTGGGTTCAGGTCTGGAGACTGGCTAGGCCACTCCAGGACCTTGAGATGCTTCTTACAGAGCCACTCCTTAGTTGCCCTGGCTGTGTGTTTCGGGTCGTTGTCATGCTGGAAGACCCAGCCACGACCCATCTTCAATGCTCTTACTGAGGGAAGGAGGTTGTTGGCCAAGATCTCGCGATACATGGCCCCATCCATCCTCCCCTCAATATGGTGCAGTCGTCCTGTCCCCTTTGCAGAAAAGCATCCCCAAAGAATGATGTTTCAACCTCCATGCTTCACGGTTGGGATGGTGTTCTTGGGGTTGTACTCATCCTTCTTCTTCCTCCAAACACGGCGAGTGGAGTTTAGACCAAAAAGCTCTATTTTTGTCTCATCAGACCACATGACCTTCTCCCATTCCTCCTCTGGATCATCCAGATGGTCATTGGCAAACTTCAGACGGGCCTGGACATGCGCTGGCTTGAGCAGGGGGACCTTGCGTGCGCTGCAGGATTTTAATCCATGACGGCGTAGTGTGTTACTAATGGTTTTCTTTGAGACTGTGGTCCCAGCTCTCTTCAGGTCATTGACCAGGTCCTGCCATGTAGTTCTGGGCTGATCCCTCACCTTCCTCATGATCATTGATGCCCCATGAGGTGAGATCTTGCATGGAGCCCCAGACTGAGGGTGATTGACCGTCATCTTGAACTTCTTCCATTTTTTAATAATTGCGCCAACAGTTGTTGCCTTCTCACCAAGCTGCTTGCCTATTGTCCTGTAGCCCATCCCAGCCTTGTGCAGGTCTACAATTTTATCCCTGATGTCCTTACACTGCTTTCTGGTCTTGGCCATTGTGGAGAGGTTGGAGTCTGTTTGATTGAGTGTGTGGACAGGTGTCTTTTATACAGGTAACGAGTTCAAACAGGTGCAGTTAATACAGGTAATGAGTGGAGGAGGGCTTCTTAAAGAAAAACTAACAGGTCTGTGAGAGCCGGAATTCTTACTGGTTGGTAGGTGATCAAATACTTATGTCATGCAATAAAGTGCGGGTTAATTATTTGAGAATCATACAGTGTGATTTTCTGGATTTTTGTTTTGGATTCCGTCTCTCACAGTTGAAGTGTACCTATGATGAAGGTGGCAGACCTCTACATGCTTTGTGGGTGGGAGGGCCCGCGGAATCGGCAGTGTGTCAAATACTTGTTCTCCCCACTGTATCTACATTTATTACTGTCTAAATTAATGCCACTTTTGTCATCTTTAAATTTGGTAAAATTGGGGCCTGTGTAGCTCAGTTGGTAGAGCATGGCGCTTGCTACGCCAGGGTTGTGGGTTCGATTACACGGGGGCCAGTATGAAAAGAGAAAATGTATGCACTCACTAACTGTAAGTCGCTCTGGATAAGAGCGTCTGCTAAATGACTAAAATGTAAATGTAAAATGTAGTCCAGGGCTCTCCAACCCTGTTCCTGGAGAGATACCCTCCTGTAGGTTTACATCTATCTAGTCAGGGCTCACTAACCCTGTTCCTGGAGAGATACCCTCCTGTAGGTTTACATCTATCTAGTCCAGGGCTCTCCAACCCTGTTCCTGGAGAGATACCCTCCTGTAGGTTTACATCTATCTAGTCCAGGGCTCTCCAACCCTGTTCCTGGAGAGATACCCTCCTGTAGGTTTACATCTGTCTAGTCCAGGGCTCTCCAACCCTGTTCCTGGAGAGATACCCTCCTGTAGGTTTACATCTATCTAGTCCAGGGCTCTCCAACCCTGTTCCTGGAGAGATACCCTCCTGTAGGTTTACATCTATCTAGTCCAGGGCTCTCCAACCCTGTTCCTGGAGAGATACCCTCCTGTAGGTTTACATCTATCTAGTCCAGGGCTCTCCAACCCTGTTCCTGGAGAGATACCCTCCTGTAGGTTTACATCTGTCTAGTCCAGGGCTCTCCAACCCTGTTCCTGGAGAGATACCCTCCTGTAGGTTTACATCTATCTAGTCCAGGGCTCTCCAACCCTGTTCCTGGAGAGATACCCTCCTGTAGGTTTACATCTATCTAGTCCAGGGCTCTCCAACCCTGTTCCTGGAGAGATACCCTCCTGTAGGTTTACATCTATCTAGTCCAGGGCTCTCCAACCCTGTTCCTGGAGAGATACCCTCCTGTAGGTTTACATCTATCTAGTCCAGGGCTCTCCAACCCTGTTCCTGGAGAGATACCCTCCTGTAGGTTTACATCTATCTAGTCCAGGGCTCTCCAACCCTGTTCCTGGAGAGATACCCTCCTGTAGGTTTACATCTATCTAGTCCAGGGCTCTCCAACCCTGTTCCTGGAGAGATACCCTCCTGTAGGTTTACATCTATCTAGTCCAGGGCTCTCCAACCCTGTTCCTGCAGAGCTACCATCCTGGAGGTTTTCACTCCAACCCTAATCTAGTGCACCTGATTCTAATAATTAGCTAGTTGATATGCTGAACCTGGTTAGTTACGACTGGGGATGGAGTGAAAACCTACAGAAGGGTATCTCTCCAGGAATGCCCTGGTTTAGTCTATAGATTGGTTTGGTCTAGCACATTCAACCATAAATTGGTTTGGTCGATTTGGTCTATAGATTGGTTTGGTCTAGTGTGCTGTTCTGCATGCTACAGTCTATGGTCTGTTCAGGGTCACCTTTCTTTCACAGCAGTGTTGAAGATTAGTTGCCACGGTGACTTGCTACTGTGGGTGCAGAAACATCTCTCTCTTCAATTAGAGAAATGACATGGCGTCCTAATGGGGCGGCGCACAGTTGGCCCAGCGTCGTCCAGGGTAGGGGAGGGAACGGCCGGCAGGGATGTAGCTCAGATGGTAGAGCATGGCGTTTGCAACGCCAGGGTTGTGGGTTCGATTCCCACGGGGAGGGGGCAGTATGAAAAATATAACAAATAATGTACGCACTCACTAACTGTAAGTCACTCTGGATAAGAGCGTCTGCTAAATGACTAAAATGTAACATGTAAATGTAAAGACAGAAGAATATGTAACATGTAAGGTATTGCTGTAGTAATGTCATGTTTAGATTAGCTATTTTATTATATTTTTACTCTAAGCTTCGTTATCTTGAAAGGAAGGAGTCAAATGTATTATTATCTTCATCACTACTGTTAGGGGTTCAAGCAGCGAAGCTCCAGTTCATTATTACTCTTCCGTAAGGCGAAATACAAATTCCCGTGAAATAGTGAGGCCTAGGAGGGTGCAACCTCGCATGATGGTAAAGGGCCATGCCAATTGGACACATGGTGGCTCTTTAAAAAAATCGATTTAACATGCAAACTTTGCAAGGTCACGCCCCTCACCCCATTGTGATCTAGAGTCATAGGTCCTCTGTAGCTCAATTGGTAGAGCGTGGCGCTTGTAACGCCAGGGTAGTGGGTTCGATTCCCCGGGACCACCCATACGTAAAAAATGTATGCACACATGACTAAGTCGCTTTTGATAAAAGCGTCTACTAAATGGCATATTATTATTATTGGTTATGCCAACACTGTGTTGTATGCCTCAGAGCTGAAAACTAAACATTTCAGGCTCCGTTTTAATAACTAGAGCCTACATGTTCTAATCAAAATTCCCGACACAGCCGGGAGCTAGCTCTCTACAATGGCGAGTGATGGGGTTCGATAAACCAGAATTGGAGGATCTTCCATCATCGTTTAAAATCTCCACTTTGGGAACACTGTCTTCCCTTTAGAAGCAAAAACGTATTGAACTTAAGTAGGAAATCAACTAAATGTATTGAAACAATTAATTGGCCTAAAATGAAAAAGACAAAACGCATCAGTGATTAGTATTTTCTTTTAACTCTCTGAAGAGGCAATGGCGTCTGTGTGCGCGCGTTTGTCTGCCACTATGTAGCCGTTAGCGATGATGCTAATGACAACCGTCTTCTGGTAGATGAAAAGGCTTTCTACAAAAAACTTCTCAATTAAAATGTTAACTACAAAATAGTCTATGCATACATGGCAGAATGATATGATTATTTGCATCAATCCAGTGGTGATTGGTTTAGAAAACTCAATCACTTGTGCTATAGAAACACTGTTAACAAAGCAAGGCTCGTGCAAACCTAAATGAAAGGGTAATCTACACCCAAAAATGATATACAGTGCATTCGGAAAGTATTCAGACCCATTGACTTTTTCCACTTTGTTACGTTAAAGCCTAATTAAATAGTCCCCCCCCCCCCGCCCTCATCAATCTACACACAACACCCCATAATGACATATCAAAAACAGGTTTAAAAATAAAATGTTGAAATATTACATAAGTATTCAGACCCTTTACTCAGTACTTTGTTGAAGCACCTTTGGCAGCGATCACAGCCTTGTGTCTTCTTGGGTATGACGCTACAAGCTTGGCACACCTGTATTTAGGGAGTTTCTCCCATTATTCTCTGCAGATCCTCAAGTTCTGTCAGGTTGGATGGGGAGTGTCGCTGCACAGCTGTTTTCAGGTCTCTCCAGAGATGTTCGATCTGGTTCAAGTCAGGGCTCTGGCTGGGCCACTCAAGGACATTCAGAGACTTGTCCTGATGCCACTCCTGCATTGTCTTGGCTGTGTGCTTAGGGTCGTTGTCCTGTTGGAAGGTGAATGTTAGCCCCAGTCTGAGGTCCTGAGCGTTCTGGAGCAGGTTTTCATCAAGGATCTCTCTGTACTTCTCTCTGTTAAATCTTTCCCCTCGATCCTGACTAGTCTCCCAGTCCCTGCCACTGAAAAACATCCCCACAGCATGATGCTGCCACCACCGTGCTTCACCGTAGGGATGGTGCCAGGTTTCCTCCAGATGTGACGCTTGGCATTCAGTCCAAATAGTTCTATCTTGGTTTCATCAGACCAGAGAATCTTGTTTCTCATAAAGTCCTTTAGGTGCGTTTTGGCAAACTCCAAGTGGGCTATCATGTGCTTTTACTGAGGAGTGGCTTCCGTCTGGCCAATCTACCATAAAGGCCTGATTGGTGGAGTGCTGCAGAGTTGGTTGTCCTTCTGGAAGGTTCTCCCATCTCCCCAGAGGAACTCTGGAGCTCTGTCAGTGACCATCGGGTTCTTGGTTACCTCCCTGACCAAGGCCCTTCTCCCACGATTGCTCAGTTTGGCCGGGTGGCCAGCTCTAGGAAGGGTCTTGGTGGTTCCAAACTTCTTCCATTTAAGAATGATGGAGGCCACTGTGTTCTTGGGGAGCTTCAATGCTGCAGTCTCCTCCGAACAGTTGATGTTGAGATGTGTCTGTTACTTGAACTCTGTGAAGCATTTATTTGGGCTGCAATTTCTGAGGCTGGTAACTCTAATGAACTTATCCTCTGCAGTAAAGGTAACTCTGGTCCTCCATTCCTGTGGCGGTCCTCATGAGAGCCAGTTTCATCATAGCGCTTGACGGTTTTTGCGACTGCACTTGAAGAAACGTTCAAAGTTCTTGAAATTGTCCGTATTAACTGACCTTCATGTCTTAAAGTAATGATGGACTGTCGTTTCTCTTTGCTTATTTTTTATTTATTTATTTTATTTAACCTTTATTTAACTAGGCAAGTCAGTTAAGAACAAATTCTTATTTACAATGACGGCCTACACCGGCCAAACCCGGATGATGCTGGGCCAATTGTGCGCTGCCCTATGGGACTCCCAATCACGGCCGGTTGTGATACAGCCTGGAATCGAACCAGGGGGTCTGTAGTGACGCCTCAAGCACTGAGATGCAGTGCCTTAGACCGCTGCGCCACTCGGGAGCTGTTCTTGCCATAATATGGACTTGGTCTTTTACCAAATAGGGCTATCTTCTGTATACCCCCCTACTTTGTCACAACACAACTGATTGGCTCAAATGCATTAAGAAGGAAAGAAATTCCACAAATTAACTTTTAACAAGGCACACCTTAATTGAAACACATTCCAGGTGACTACCTCATGAAGCTGGGTGAGAAAATGCCAAGAGTGTGCAAAGCTGTCATCGAGGCAAAGGGTGGCTACTTTGAATAATCTCAAATATATTTTGATTTGTTTAACACTTTTTTGGTTTGGTTACTACATGATTCCATATGTGTTATTTCATAGCTTTAATGTCTTCACTATTATTCTACAATGTAGAAAATAGTAAAAATAAAGAAAAACCCTTGAATGAGTAGTGTCCAAAATTTTGACTGGTACTGTATATATACACATTTTGAACCTCAAATGGTCTCCTGATGTACTTTAAAGCATTGTTGTGGACTTAAAAGCTCAAATTTGGTTGTTTTTCTATTTAAAAAAATCTAATAAAAAAAAGTGATGAGTAAAAACCTGCAAAACAGGGAAAAATCTGAAACCTGGAAAACAAACTCATAAAACGGAAATAGGCAAAACTGAAAACAGTTTTATAGGGCCCTATGTTATAAGACTCATTATCTATTCCTGGGTTACTTTTATATATTTTCCTGCTGTACCGAAACGAACCGTGACCCCAAAACCTCAATATGTACCGGACCGTAGGTTTGGTGAACACCCCTAATCATTATTGTAAAATGGATAAACATTCCTTAGAATGAATAGAGGCTCGGAAATGGCAGTGAAATCATTGATAATGAATGATTCTTTAATTGAAGAAAGCAACAAACAAACAAAAATACATTTGCTGCTGCTGTTGGTGGTGACAGAGGGGTTGGGTCAGGATGGAAAGGAGACCAGAACAATTTCTCCTTTTAACACAAATCATAATCATCTTCATTAATGCACAGCTCAAACAGCTGGTTGGTTCGCTCTACCAGATTACCATGGAAACGCTGAAACTTTAAGCTAAGCAGAGAATCTCACTGAAAAATCTAAATGAATCAAGTCTCTAACTCCAAGAGAAACACAAATACGCTTTCTGAAAACTTTAGTCCTGGAATTTGAGCTTTTTTTTCTTCCCCCTGGCGTTTTCTTAAAAGAAAAACTTGATGTATTTGTTTCAAAACATGAACATCAAAAAAAAAAAAAAACATTTCTGCCTTAAGACTAAATGACTAGCAAATGCATTAACAATACCATTACTGTCAATGTCAATATGATTACTTATATTTTAGTATATTTTCTTTATTAAATGTCATCTTTGTGGTTTGACCGCAAAAGTGATGATGTCACTGTGTCCTGATCACAGAAAAATACACGTCCCAATGGGCGGTGGGTGGAGATTCCACTTAAGGACCAATGGAATGGTCTAAAATGTGCCAACTCCGCCAACCGGGGGCCACGCAAAACAAACTCGCCCAATGTCTCAAAATTGCAAATTCCGCCACCCTTTTTTAGAGTGACGCCAAACCAAGAAACTGGATTGTAAAAACCCATAGAAAAGCCACCCTAAGTTGAGTCTCAGGGTTCTCAAATGGCACCCTATTCCCTATATAGTGCACTACTTTTGACCAGGGACCCTATGGGTTACTTTAGCCCTAAAGTAGTGTATGGAATAGGGTGCCATTTGAGACACATAACCTGTCCTAAACCAAATGATCACCTGACACCTCTCAGGTGTAATCATCATGTCTTGAACTTCTTCTCTGAGGTCTCCGACCCCCCTGACCCCTCCCCAGAACCCTCCCCTGACCCTTGACCTCTTGACCCCAGGTGAGTCCGTTTCAGCGCACCCTGGGCTGGGGCCGGGCCTCTCTGAGACGATGATCCGCCCTCCTCTACCAGAGTCCTAGTGCCTGCTGATTTCACCGCTAAGGTCTCGCTCTCCCCCTCGGAGTCTGAGGATACAAACAGGTCTGGAGCCAGACGACCCCTGCAGCCTATCGGCACCCCAGGGCTGTGGTGTCTGGAGCGAGGGGTGACCCAGCCACTATGATCCTCTTCCTCTGCCTCTTCTGGACTATCCAAGCCCTCAGCCATTCTCTCTAAAGCAGCCCCCCTCCCCCCCCGCCTTCCTGCCCGGGACTCGGTCCTCTGCTGCAGGGCGTCTTGAGACAGAAGGGAGGCAATGAGGAGCCCCTCCTGCTCCGCTCGGTCATCCTGGCTGTCCAGAGACACTGCAGGGCTAGAAGCAGCGAGGGTGTGAAACTTGCGTCTCCCCGTTTTAGAGCCACTCCTGTGGGGTCCGACCTGGACCGAATCCTGGTCCTGCTGCAGATCCGTGGAGGATGCGGAGGAGGATGAGGCCTCGTCGATGGAGATCTTGGGGTAGGAGCAGGAGTCGACCCCACCGGGGTACAAGGCCTGGGCGGACTCGGGGCGCCCCCCACTGGACCGGCGGGGGAAGTGAATGCGTCGTCTCCGGGCTGCGGTACGTTCTCTCCTACTGGCTCTCCTCAGCTCCTCATCCTCGGAGCTGGTGGAGGAGGTGGAGGAAGAGCTGGAGGAGGCGCCGGCGGGGGAGGAGGTGGGGCTGGAGAGGGTGGAGTTGTCTCGGGGGCTGGGAGAGCGAGGCCGGGGCATGGGGTCAGGCCAGAACCCACTGGAGTCAGAGTCCTCTCCCACCAGATCCAATAAGAACACAGACTGCTGATATCTGCTGCCACGCCTCCTCGGCTGCAGCGCCTCCACCCCTTCAGGATGCTCCTCCCCCGATGCCTCGGGTGCAGCCAATGAGGACGAAGAGGAGTGGTCTGAGTCGGCGGCAACAGCAGCAGCAGGTGGTACAGGCATGGCGACCCCGGTCCCAACCAGGGCCCCGGAGCTGTCTCTTACAGCCTGCGTGGAGCGTCGGCCCCTGGCGTGGAGCTGCAGGATGGCCCCCTCACTCAGGTCGCTGTCCGAGTCCGAACTCCAGCCCTCGATCTCCCGACGCACCAGAGAGTCAAAGAAGGCCATCATACGAGGGTCCTCCTGGATGGACTGAGATGAGATAAGATGCAATTGTACTTAATGAATCCCCCCCAAAATGTGTGTGTGTGTGTGTTTGTATGGGCGTTATATAGGGAAAGGTAGTGCGCTGTGTAGGGAATAGGGTGCCATTTGGGACTGTGACCTGGTGTTACCTGTGAGACGTAGTCGTGGCTCAGGCCGCTGCCGCTGTTCAGCACCAGGTTGATATATTCCTCATGGCTGTACAGACTCCTGGACTTATCCTCCACACAGCCATCCAGGTCTCCCACACTCTCCGGCTGCTGGTAAGGGCTCCACGCCTGGGGGAGGGAGGAGAGGGGAGCGGGTGGGAGGGGAGCGGGTGGGAGGGAGAGGGAGGGAGAGGGAGAGGGGAGCGGGAGGGGGAGAGGGGAGCGGGAGGGGGAGAGGGGAGCGGGAGGGAGGGGGAGAGGAGGACAGGAGGGGTTTCAGGGGGGGAGAAACAAGGGGTGAGGGAGGAGAGCATGGTTGAAATTGAACACCTGGTTGGGCCTGTATCAGCTTTCACACCTCTGGTACGTTGCAGAATAACGAACGAGGAAGAACGTATAACAGCAGCTTTTTGGAACACCTGGAGGACGGAGGTTATGATGAATCAACACCCTATATCCTTTTCCTTTCACAAGCTCAGGCCGCTACGTTTGTCTGGGCTGGAGAGTGGTAGAGAGACAGTGGATAGTGGTGAGGAGACCGAGTTGTCTCGATCCGTCTTCACCTCAAGCCCTCGGAGATCCATATAGGGGGGGAATCACCTAGAGAAGAATGTTGCTGGCTTTACCTTTCAGGCGGTTTGAGTAAAAAGAGCTAATTCATTCATGCCAGACGATCACAATCAAGTGTATTAGACATTCTGATGAGACTTTGAATGAGCACCCACTTTGTCGTGTTAACTAGAAGTTTTGTTTGTGAATATTTTGAGGGTAGGTGGCATTTAACATAACCACATGTAACATATGGGCTTCCATTAGAATACACATCAAAAGTACAAAGTTACCTCACTTTTACATTTTTCGAGTTCTAACATAAAACCGAAATGGTCTAAGGCACTGCATCGCAGTGCTAGCTGTGCCACTAGAGATCCTGGTTCGAATCCAGGCTCTGTCGTAGCCGGCCGCGACTGGGAGACTTATGGGGCGGCGCACAATTGGCCCAGCGTCGTCCAGGGTAGGGGAGGGAATGGCCGGCAGGGATGTAGCTCAGTTGGTAGAGCATGGCATTTGCAACGCCAGGGTTGTGGGTTCGATTCCCAAGGGGGGGTATGATTTTTATTTTTTTATTCTCAAACAAAATAATGTATGCACTCACTAACTGTAAGTCGCTCTGGATAAGAGCGTCTGCTAAATAACTAAAAATGTTTTTAAAAAAGTGTTATCAACACCTAGCTAGCTAATTTACAGCTTTAATAGCAAATTGAGCCACGTTAAAGTAAACCAACGTTTTCGAATTACCTAATGCCATCTAACCAGTTCGTTAAAATCATCATTATCATCTTAGCCAGCAAGCAATCTAGCCAGCCAGCTAACGTTAGCCATTTTAGCCCAGTGAGGGTAGCTAACCCAATAGCGATATATTGCGAAGTAAATCTGAAGTAGATAGATTCCAGAGGCATTAATCCAGAGGCTCTGGCATGGAGAGGCAGGACAGGAGACGACGGGAACAGTCAACAAGCCACCGGTCGGAGGAAAGCTGCAGGCAGACGGAAATCACCACAACAGCGCGCTGGCACTAAGCCAAGGTTGAAAAACTCTGGCACCCTACTTTAGAGAACAGGTCGAAAAGTTGACCAAACAAATATAAAGAGGAAGAACAGACAAGGTACTAAAATATTAGAGCAGGCAGGAATGATTTTCCACTTTCCTTTTGAGCCAGAGGCAAGCCTTCCGGTGCAGGAGAAGTCACAGCTGCCGAGCAGGATCATGCAGTCCACACATGTGGGGAATCTGATTGGTTGTTTACGTCACACGTCCTCGTTATTGGTGGATTGTAGCTCACCACTGCCAACACTCAGCCTGCATGGCTGGCTAAGATTAGCCAGAATCTCAATACGACGTTGAGAAATAGTGCATTCTGGGTAGTTTCGAAGATATCTGAAAATAAGTTAATAAATATTTTCAAAACATAACTATTTTTGGAGTTATAGGCAACCACATTGTGACTACAACTAAGTTACTATGTCTTCGACCACACTACGTTGTTACTTTGGTGAATAAAAACTCATGCTACCTACCCTTTAAAAGTAAGTTCAAAGACAATTGAACTGAGAGGAAATTAAATTGCGTGCAATGCACGCATGACGCACATGAGGTTGTAATGACATGAATCAATCACGTACCAAGTCATTTTACAAATAACTGTAAGTACATCACTGGGGCCAAGCTTCCTGCCATCCAGGACCTCTATACCAGGCGGTGTCAGAGGAAGGCCCTCAAAATTGTCAAAGACTCCAGCCACCCTAGTCATAGACTGTTCTCTCTGCTACCGCACGGCAAGCGGTACCGGAGTGCCAAGTCTAGGTCCAAAAGACTTCTCAACAGCTTCTACCCCCAAGCAATAAGACTCCTGAACAGCTAATCATGGCTACCCGGACTATTTACACTGCCCCCCCCCACCCCAATCCTTTTACGCTGCTGCTACTCTGTTAATTATTTATGCATAGTCACTTTAACTCTACCCACATGTACATATTACTTCTACTACCTCAACTAGCCGGTGCCCCCGCACATTGACTCTGCACCGGTACCCCCCTGTATATATAGCCTCCCTACTGTTATTTTATTTTACTTCTGCTCTTTTTTTTCTCAACACTTTTTTGTTGTTGTTTTATTTTACTTTTTTATTAAAAATAAATGCACTGTTGGTTAAGGGCTGTAAGTAAGCATTTCACTGTAATGTCTACACCTGTTGTATTCGGCGCATGTGGCCAATACAATTTGATTTGAAGTCACACACCCACACCTTAACTGTTATAAATGATTATGTAAAATTGTGAGAAAAACTCAATGTCGTCACGTACCTTGAGTGACGAAATTCAACCACGGAGTGATGAAAATCAAATCATGACATAATAATGAATTGACATGCACGCATCACGACGATGAAAATGGGAGATGTCACTGATGATGACATCACTAAACGTACCTTGATGACCTTCTCGACCCCGGAGGAGCAGATCATATAGGTGCTGGGGTTGAACCGGACCTGGTTCACGATGGAGCGGTGACCCTTTAGGACCATGAAGGCTCCGTTCACCACACGACCCGGGCCTCCTGGGGGAGCAGGGCGGAATAAGGGAGAGATTATAATCTCTGACACAGACTGACACACCGATAAGAAACACACACACACAAGATTGACAAACAATACAGAAACAAACCACCCACACACCCTCTCTTACCTGCTTCAGGATCCTTTGGGATTCTCCACATATAAAGGTTGAAGTCATCTGATCCCGACAAGATGTACTGGAGGAGGATGAAAGCAGAGATTAAGACAGCTCAACCCCAATAGCACCCTATTGCCCTATGTAGCGCACTACTTTTGACCAGAGCCCTGGTGAAAAAGTAGTGCACTACATCGGGAATAGGGTGCCATTTTGTCCTCGGAGATAAAACACATCATGGTGTAGCAAACAACTATTAGGTCATATTCTCTGCCCCTTCTTGATAAAAAGAGGAGGTTGATACCACACAATAATCACCAAAACAAAAAGTTGGCTAGATAGTCAGGGAACATCTACAATTCCTTAGGATCCCTAAAAGAAAGAGGTGATTACTCCATTCCAGGAGAGGCATAGTGTGCATCCCAAATGGCACCATATCGGTTTTAAAAAAAATAGTTCACTATATAGGGAATAGGGTTCCAATTTGGGACGAAACCCATAGTCAGACAGGACAACAGAAACTCAAACATCAGGCCCAGTCCTTTTTGAGTCAAGGGCCTATATTCATAAAGCATTGGAGTGAAAGGCGCCGCATTGATCAATCCGACGTCTGCATTGGCCGTGCAGCATTTACGGTGATAAGGCCTCAGCAGAAGTCAGGGCATTCATACTTCCTGCGCTTCGCCGAGCAACGCAGAGCTGTTGTCAAGGAAGTGAGTTTGTGTTTTATACAGGACCTCCCGCCCCCCCGCCTACCATCAACCAATCATGTCTTCCGCATTGTTACAACATGAGAGGCGCAGGGCGATGTGGTACGGAGCTCAATTTGGCCTCTGCGTGCCTCCGGAGGCTCCGCAATTGCGACACACCATCTACACGGCGCCTCCGACCACATTTTAGGATCAAGCATAAAATTGGCTCTAAGAGTGAATAAGATTACAGGTACAGGACCTGATCCCGACGCTTTATGAACAGGGGCCTCGAACCTCAGTGTAAAACAAGCAACATGTTCAGTACAGTAGAGAGACTTATTTACGACAAATCTCTTCTCCGAGGGAAGAAACTTCTACAAAAATGGGTGTAACTTCTACAAAACACACTGAGGAGAAATGTGTTTGCCATCTGGTGCCAGACAACTACGCGCCAAACCAAGCCAGAAGAGATATATGTATATATTTTTTAATGACACAACATCTGTCTCACTAGGGTAGGGGTCTCCAACAGGTCGAGTAGCTCGCAGCCCAATTAGGAGTAAGTTTGCCAATAAATTCTGAAAGTGCATGTATTTTTCACGAGTTCCACCGCAAACTGTCAAACAAAATCTCACAGTTTATCAGACACCTCATGCTCCCGGCTACTATCCAATCAAATCCACAGACATTATCCCACCCCTAGTTAACCACAATTGGCTTAAAAAGTCAAACATCTGCCAATACTGCCCCCTGTAGGTCTTTGTGGTGCGTGCGTTTGTCTACTGTTCACGTCGATAATGATAACGGTATTGTGGTGTGGGTAGACAAAGACTTTCCCCAAAACCTTCTCAATTAACTGTTAACTGCAAAGTAGGCTTACCTGGCAGAATGATGTCATGATTATTTGCATCAATCGGGTGGGCATTTGTCATGACATCATTGCTAGACCCCTCTCTTAAAATGCACAATTAAAGGGGTATTACACACACACAAAAAAAGGACCTTCTGATGTGATTTAAGCATCGACATGGGCTCATAACATCCAATTTCATTCACACAAAATTGAAAGCGCGAACCACTGCATTTAACCATGGCAAGGTGACTGGGAATATGGCAGAATACAAACAGTGTAGTTATTTCCTCCGTAAGGCAATCCAACTGGCAAAACGTCAGTATAGAGACAGAGTGGAGTCACAATTCAACGGCTCAGACACGAGACGTATGTGGCAGGGTCTACAGACAATCACGGACTACAAAAGGAAAAACCAGCCACGTCGCTGACACCGACGTCTCGCTTCCAGACAAGCTAAACACCTTCTTCGCCCGCTTTGAGGATAACACAGTGCCACTGACGAGGCCCACTACCAAGGACTGTGGCCTCTCCTTCTCCGTGGCCGACGTGATTAAGACATTTAAGCATGTTAACCCCCGCAAGGCTGCCGGCCCAGACGGCATCCCTAGCCGCGTCCTCAGAGCATGCTCAGACCAGCTGACTGGTGTGTTTATGGACATATTCAATCTCTCCCTTTCCCAGTTTGCTGTCCCCACATGCTTCAAGATGGCCCCCATTGTTCCTGTACCCAAGAAAGCAAAGGTAACTGAACTAAGGTGGTGATGGTAGGAAACAACATCTCCACTTCGCTGATCCTCAACACAGGAGCCCCACAAGGGTGCGTGCTCAGCCCCCTCCTGTACTCCCTGTTCACCCATGACTGCGTGGCCAAGCACGCCTCCAACTCAATCATCAAGTTTGCAGACGACACAACAGTAGTAGGCTTGATTACCAACAATGACGAGACCGCCTACAGGGAGGAGGTGAGGGCTCTGGGAGTGTGGTGCCAGGATAATAACCTCTCACTCAACATCAACAAAACAAAGGAGATGATCGTGGACTTCAGGAAACAGCAGAGGGTGCACCCCCCTATCCACATCGACGGGACCGCAGTGGAGAAGGTGGAAAGCTTAAAGTTCCTCGGTGTACACATCACTAACAAACTTAAATGGTCCACCCACGCAGACAGTGTGGCGAAGAAGGCGCAACAGAGCCTCTTTTTTTACATTTACATTTTAGTCATTTAGCAGACGCTCTTATCCAGAGCGACTTACAGTTAGTGAGTGCATACATTTTCATACTCAGGAGGCTGAAGAAATTAGGCTTGGCACCTAAAACCCACAAACTTTTACAGATGCACAATTAAGAGCATCCTGTCGGGCTGTATCAACGCCCGATACGGCAACTGCACCGCCCGCAACCGCAGGGCTCTCCAGAGGGTGGTGCAGTTGCCGTATCAGGCGGTGATACAGCCCGACAGGATGCTCTCAATTGTGCATCTGTAAAAGTTTGTGAGGGTTTTAGGTGCCAAGCCAAATCTCAGAAACTGCCACCCTCCTGGGCTTTTCCACGCACAACAGGGTCTATCTCACCTGGTCCTCGTCTCCAGCGAAGCAGCAGCTCTTCATGGTACAGGAGTTGAAGTAGCCCTGGTTGTCGAACTGGAAGCTGGGTAGGCGTGAGTGTAGCTCGTAGAGGACTGGGGGTAGCCTGCGACGCAGGGCCAGGAGCTGGGTCCCCGTGCTGTTGAAACGCACCGACATGGCACTCTGGAGGGACATGCTGCCACCGTACCGCAGCAGAGAACTGGGAGGGATGGAGAGAGAAAGGAAGAGAAATGAGAGGAAGGAAAGGAAAAAGTATTGCTCTTTGGGGTCTAGGCAGACTGTTAAAGCACTTTGTGAAAGCTGCTGATGTAAAAAGGGCTTGATAAACGATGCATAAATAAATAATATAAAGTTCGTAGATAGAGCAGTAAAACAAAGGAGGGTAATTAGTCTGATTACATATAGAGGCAGTTTCAGTGTTATATGGTCAGAATAGAAGCAAACAGATAGGGATGCTATGTTAGCCAGCTAGCTATCCAAGACTGGAACTCTTCCAAGTCAAGGTAAGCTTTAGGTTTCATTAATTTATTGCCACCGGAGCCCGCCGGTTTAACTGCTAAACTGCTTGCTGCTGACTGTACACTGTACTAGGAATGGAAGCAATTAGTGTTGTCACGATACCAACATCTTACAAACGATATGATACCAGGACAAGTATCATGATACCGAGTAGTATCGAGATACCACGGTGGAAAGAAATCAGTTTCCTAGCATCCTGTTCGCCCTGTCCCCCCAGATACTAAAAACCTTTCATTGAAATTCACACTTCTACTCAATACAACAGATTGCATTTAACTTCACACTCCTTCAGTGTATAATAGAATGCTGCAAAGAATGGCTGATTTGTTCATATTTGCAAAGGCCTACCTGTGATTTGGCTGGAGGAATATACATGCATAATGATCTGCATGTCATTGTGTCAGTAAGGGGAAAACACTGCATGAAACCTTCTTTACTGTTCAGTTAACACAGACACTCTACCCTCCCTCTCTGTCTCCGTCACTCTCAAACACAAACACACACTCCTCCAACTTCAAAAACGTTATGCACCTTAAGGAGCACCAGTAATACATATTTTTGACACACCTACTCATTCAAGGGTTTTTCTTTATTTTTTACTATTTTCTACATTGTAGAATAATAGTGAAGACATCAAAACTATGAAATAACACATTTGGAATCATGTAGTAACCAGGAAAATGTTAAACAAATCAAAATATATTATATATTTGAGATTCTTCAAAGTAGCCACCCTTTGCCTTGACGACAGCTTTGCACACTCTTGGCATTCTCTCAACCAGCTTCATGAGGAATGCTTTTTCAACAGTCTTGAAGGAGTTCCCACATATGCTGAGCACTTGATGGCTGTTTTTCCTTCACTCTGCGGTCCGACTCATCCCAAACCATCTCAATTGGGTTGAGGTCGGGGGATTGTGGAGGCCAGGTCATCTGATGCAGCACTCCATCACTCTCCTTGGTCAAATAGCCCTTACACAGCCTGGAGGTGTGTTTTGGGTCATTGTCCTGTTGAAAAACAAATGATAGTCCCACTAAGCACAAACCAGATGGGATGGCGTATCACTGCAGAATGCTGTGGTAGCCATGCTGGTTAAGTGTGCCTTGAATTCTAAATAAATCACGGACAGTGTCAACAGCAAAGCACCCCCACACCTCCTCCTCCATGCTTCAGGGAGGGAACCACACATGCGGAGATATTCCGTTCACCTACTATGCGTCTCACAAAGACACGGCGGTTGGAACCAAAAATCTAAAATTTGGACTCATCAGACCAAAGGACAGATTTCCACCGGTCTAATGTCCATTGCTCGTGTTTCTTAGTCCAAGTAAGTATCTTACTATTATTGGTGTCCTTTAGTAGTTGTTTCATTGCAGCAATTCAACCATGAAGGCCTGATTCACACAGTCTCCTCTGAACAGTTGATGTTGAGATGTGTCTGTGACTTGAACTCTGAAGCATTTATTTGGGCTGCAATTTCTGAGGCTGGTAACTCTAATGAACTTATCCTCGGCAGCAGAGGTAACTCTGGGTCTTCCATTCCTGTGGCGGTCCTCATGAGAGCCAGTTTCATCATAGCGCTTGATTGTTTTTGCGACTGCACTTGAAGAAACTTTCAAAGTTCTTTAAATTGTCCGTATTGACTGACCTTCATGTCTTAAAGTAATGATGGACTGTCGTTTCTCTTTGCTTATTCGAGCTGTTCTTGCCATAATATGGACTTGGTCTTTTACCAAATAGGGCTATCTTCTGTATACCACCCCTACCTTGTCACAACACAACTGATTGGCTCAAACGCGTTAAGAAGGAAAGAAATTCCACAAATGAACTTTTAAGAAGGCACACCTGTTAATTGAAATGCATTCCAGGTGACTACCTCATGAAGCTGGTTGAGAGAATGCCAAGAGCATGCAAAGCTGTCATCAAGGCAAAGGGTGGCTACTTTGAAGAATCTCAAATGTAAAATATATTTTGATTTGTTTAACACTTTTTTGGTTCCTACATGATTCCATATGTGTTATTTCATAGCTTTGATGTCTTCACTATTATTCTACAATGTAGAAAATAGTAAAAATAAAGAAAAACCCTGAATGTCAAAACCTTTGACTGGTACTGTAGTTAGTCTTCCATTAGGCCTCTATGAATCCAACCTTTTGGAGCACATCTCATGAGTAGCAGATCCTTGTCCTTACTTCCTGGTCAAATCAAATTAGCCGTCAAGTCACCAGGTTGTTAGCTAGCTAGGTAACAGTTTAAAAACGGCCCCTGACATGGTTTGTGAAATTATATCAAATGCGCGCAAATCCCCCGGTAATATGGGTCATATTAAAATTAAATTACAATATTTATTGAACCGTTTAGGTTAGAGAAGAGCCGTTTTCTTTGCTGTAAAGCAGCGAGCGGTGCTCCATCTCCCCTCTCTGGCACTCAGAGGCTACATGACAGTGAACTTTCAAAATCTACTCAGACCGGTCTGTGCTCTTGGTTATAACAGGCGATGAAATCATACAATGTATTAACATTGCTGGCTTTGCGCGCTGCTCCAACGTAACACGTGTACAAATCTAGCAACAGAAGACTCATCAGGGTCTTGGTCTGGATCCCCGCTCCCTATCATGACTAAATAATATATTATTTTATTTTTACTGACGGAGGAAAAGCTCCGTGAAGAACAGACTCAGAGAGAAGCAGGTGAGTGAGGTCTGGTAGGGGATGCAGCTGGCTGATTACAGCTGCCACAGGTGATATGCGCATGGAAGTGAAGTGGATATTATTGGACCTGCTCATACAAGGAGACTAGTGACTGTTCGCTTAAATTAAATTGATAAACAAAACTGACTATAAACATTTTATTAACAGGCGCCAGCAGGTTCTTTAGATCGGTAGGGCTGGAAAAAGTCGGTAGTATCATATGAAACGGTACTAGGATATTCTAAAACGTTGGTATCATAAGTATCATGACGTTTTTGGCACCATGATATTACAGTGGTCCCGGGATACCGTGCAACACTAGAAGCAACGATTTAATAATAAAACAAAAGTGCCCTCTGGTGGACAAATTGGGTCAGACAGATGCTGGACTACGGCCTGAAAGTTCTAAGAGTGAAGAGTGTTAAAAATGTAAAATGTATTTAGGTTCTGAAGTTCTAATAGTGACAGTTAACGGCGTCCATGTTGTCTCACGTGCGAGGTTTGCGGATGTCCCAAAGCCCCACCCCCTCCTTGGAGTTGGCTGTGGCCAGCAGTCGGGGCTCTGCCGGGTTGAACATCACACTGTGGAAGGCTGACGGGTAATTGGCCAGACAGAACGGCTCTGAAACACACAGGGGAAGGACATTTAACTCAGATGACATGGTTATTGATCAGGGGGGGAGGCCTATTGCATGTTTCATATACTGTAATACACTGAAATGATAGCTTTATATACAGTAATATTCTGAAAACAGTCTGCTGTTGTAAATATTCAGTCAATGACAGAAGGGCTCTAGAACACCGAGGGACAGATTACATTATGTATGGTAAGATTTTGCTTTTGAAGCACAAACTTCAATCAAATGTTTCATCTAACGGTTATTGATGTAAGGAAGCCTAATGCAATATGTTGCACATTCTGTAATACACTGAGATCAAGTCTCCTGAAACCAATATAGAGGCCTACCAGTCAAGGAGCTACAATGAATACAGGAATAGTCTTAATCTGTGTCTAAGAAATACCTGGGTTTACAGACCCCCAGATTACTTTAATTTGAGAGCTGGTTTCCCGGACCCAGATTTAAACTATTCCTGGACTAAAAACCATCTCAATGGAGTCTCCCATTGGGCATGCTTTCTAGTCCAGGGGTAGGTTAATCTGGGTTGTACAGGAAACCTGCCCTGATCGTTTCAAAACACAGACTGTCTGTCTGTCTGCGTCGAGATTAACAGGTTAATCTGAAGGTCATTTGTACCCGTATGAAAGTGGGTTAGTAGGGCAGAGTTTGTCCGTTTGTTTGAGATGATAGGCCTGAGCAAGGATCTGTGCAGAAACACTGAGTCCAATCCCCTTGAACGCATTGTGTAGCTTATTTCTTGGTATCACCATGTTAAGTGGGAAACCAGCCCAGGCCCTCAATGTTTAAAAACACCATTGCTCCAAGATGAACTCGTTAATCTGAAAGTAATTTGCACACACATGTAAATGGAGTAGGGTAAATTACGTGTGTATGCATGCATACATACGTGTACTGTGAAATGCATTCCTGGTGACTACCACATGAAGCTGGTTGAGAGAATGCCAAGAGTGTGCAAAGCTGTCATCAAGGCAAAGTTAGGCTATTTGAAGAACCTCAAATTAAAAAATATATTTTGATTTGTTTAACACTTTTTGGGGGGTTAATACATGATTCCATATGTGTTATTTCATAGTTTTGATGTCTTCACTATTATTCTACAATGTAGAAAATAGTAAAAATAAAGAAAAACCCTTGAATGAGTAGGAGTGTCCAAACTTTTGACTGGTAGTGTATGTATGTATGTATGCATGCATGTATGTATGTTAGGTACCTCCGTGTGGCGGCTCCCGCGTGTCCCAGATGAGGACCCGTCCGTCGTCAGAGGAGCTGGCGAACACGTTGTCGTTAACGGGGCTGACTGACAGGCCGTACACCGCATCATCATGGAGGAACACGTTCAGAGTCTCACCCCTGGAGGAACAGAATACAGCTGTATTTAAATGTTGTTTGGTTTATAAAAACAAGAGGTCTTACCTCTGCAACAAGACATCTCTATTTTAAAAGACTATGTTCCAATGTCCATATATTAATACTAGCATACCACTTAGAATTAAGAAATGTATTGGGCATGAATTATAAGTACTATGCTATTGGTACAGGTGTTTGCATAAATGTCTCGCTGATAGAGACAGGGTTGTAATTTCAAAAGCATATCATTTGTGAATAATACATTAACCCGCAGCTAAATGCATGAGGAGCTGGGTCGGGGTCAATACCATTTCAATTCACAAAGTAAACCAAATTGGGAAAGCATTGAAGAGAATTAGAATTTCAGTGTACTTCCAGAATTGACTGTAATTAAAATAGAATTGCGCCCAACCCGTGCTGAGGAGTATTTCAGACAGAGTAAACATTGCGGGGAGCCTTGTGGCAGATACAAGGAGAACCGGCATTGGCTGGAACGAGCTGGAGAAGACTGCACAGAACAGACAGTGACGAAGAGGAGTGGTCAACGTCCTTCGCGCCTAAAGAAGCGACGGGCCTAAGTCAGTCAATAAGTACAACATCGCAGCTGACGATGACGATGATTAGATGAAGATGAATAATCCTACTCACCGCTCTACATCATGAAGGATGACCTGTTCATCGTTGCCTTTTAAAAACAAGACAAGAGACAACAAATAAACATGAAACTAGATAAAAAAAAGGTAGCACTTGCCAAATCTAACCCCAATAGAAAACACTATATTTCAAGGGTATTAGGGTACCTATGTGAGGAACGACTGCATGACACATCCACAACTCATAGATAAGATCCAGAACACATTGATAAGCGATGCATACTGTTAAGCACATACTTACGTCAACAACTGCATGTTTTTCATTGCAGTATTTGTGACATTACTGATACACAACAAATATATAAAAACGTCTGGTTAAGACAAACTATTAAGCACAGCTTTTGAATTTGTTATGCGTGGTGTTAGCCATCAATTCTAATGGGGGTTTCTGAACATAACATATCTATTTCTATAAACAGCTGAGGTCAAGTAACTCAAGCCCTCTACAGATCACTGTGAAGTGAACCACTAACCCAAGATAGCCAGTAGCGGCCACCTGGCCTAGACACAGATCTGTTTGTGCCATCTTGCCAAATCATATGTCATTGTTATGCCAAACAGGGCGGCAGGTAGCTTAGTGGGTAAGAGCGTAGTGCCAGTAACCGAAAGGTCGCTGGTTCTAATCCCCGAGCCGACTAGGTGAAAAATCTGTCGGTGTGCCCTTGAGCAAGGCACTTAACCCTAATTGCTCCTGTAAGTCGCTCTGGAGAAGAGTGTCTGCTATATGACAAAAAATAAATAAAATTCTAATAAAATAAAAATATTTCATATAATAATAAAATGTGCAGGTCAATGTTTGGCATGACAATGGCTGTGTCCCAATCGACAAGAATGCTGCCTTTTGAGGAAGGACGTTAACATTGGTGTGTCCCAATCCCAAGGTTCCTTAAAATGCTGCCTTCACAAGAGTGACAAGAAGTAGGCAAGATGGCACAAACCGATTGGGTGAGCGGTGTTGGGTGAGCGGTGTTGGGTGAGCGGTATTGGGTGAGCGGTATTGGGTGAGCGGCTAGTAGCCACCACCCAGAGATAGTCTTGATCTATTCACTCAAGTCCAGGGTATTGGGTGAGCGGCCTAAATATTTTTTCGGGCTGCCTATGAACATTTATTTATTTTTTGGGGGGGAATAATTGTTGGGATGGAAAAACGTTTTCAGTGTGAACTTAAACCAACTAAAACCAGATATAAAGTATGCAGAAAAGATAAATCGACCTATATATTTTTTTGCAAGATATTTGAGAACTAACAATTACCCCCCAAAAAAGGTAGACAGTCAAGGAGAAACAAAAATTCCAAAAATGATGCAATCAGGAGTATTTTTGTCATGGCATGGGGCCCCCATTGATTTCGTTATACTGTTTGAGTCACTCAGATAGCCTAAACCATGGGGAAATGTGTAGAATTGCAGGAAATTTGCTTTAAAATTGGAAATGTTACCTCTGCAGCCAACAGGAGGGCCTCTAAAAAAAAAAATTACGTCAGCGACCGCACCCCCTAAGTCCCACTCTGTGTTAACTAATGAAACTGATTAAATGATAGATTGACGGGCGATGGTCTGTCCTCTTACCCCCAGAGAACACCCTCTTGTTGGTGCTGTCGAAGGCCAGGCAGAAGATGTTGGAGAGGTGTTCTCCCTTCAGTTTGAGAGGCTTGGCTGAGCGGGCATGAAGTGCTCTCTCCATGTTCCATAGCAGCACCCTGCGGTCATCCCCTCCTGTGGCAGGGAGGGAAGGAGGGAGAGAGAAAGAGAGAGCGCGAAAAGAAAACAGAGAGAGATAGAGATGGGTGGACAGACAAGACATTGTAAACACAGGCCAAGTTGTTCTACTCCACTCTGAGGACTTACTCTGCTTGCAAGGCCCACCAGCTGTGAAACACACCAGAACCATTGCTCTTCTAAATCCAAACTCACCTATACTACACCAAAACTGGAATGGGGAAGGGACTGGTTAAAAGTTGCATAGTTAGCCAACTGCATAACGTTATTAAAACCATAACTAGTTACCTACCGGTACCCAATGTCAGCCTATTTCAAAAGGAAGGGGCAGGAAATGTAGAACTGTGTAGCTAGCTAGTTGTGTCTGCTGGCTAGCATGCTAACCTAGATAGCCAAAATGATTTAACCTAACTAACCAAACCTATGTAAAAACCTGACCTGCACATTTCAGCGTTTTCTTGCTCCTAATTAACAACTTTCAGTTTGGCAATAGATGAACAGGGAGCCAAATGTGCATATGCTGGCTCGACCAGCCAACTAAGCTTGCAATCTGACGTGCAAGCTTAGCTAGTTAGCTGAAATGTGTCAACAACACACTAGCTGCTAGGTTAGCAACTATGCTAACTAGGGATGATCTAGAGCTACAAACTTACCCGACACAAGGTACTCCCCTCCATTGTTGGAAAACTCTATGGCGTTTACACACCCGAAATGTCCCAGCATATCTTTCTTGTAAAGGCTTGTGCATCCTGCCAACCGAAGCCTCTGGAATTCTTCCTTCATCAGCGGGTCCCCGAAAAGCCTTCTCTGGGACAGAAAGCCCACAGAGGACCGCATACCGCAACCCTTCACCTCCTTCATTTTTTTCCTGGAGCAGTTAGCTAGCCTAGCCAGCCAGCTAGCTTGCGATTCCTCATCAACCTGTGCACAATGCACATCCGCTATTTTACTAGCTATTATAGAAGTTTCTATCTGCAATAGGCCTGTCTCTAAAAGCTACATGATGGTGAAGGAAGATATTCCCGAGCGCAGTGCTGTTGTTGATTGCTGCGCCCCGGCTCTGTAGCTTCCTGCTCTGCTGCAAGCTCCTCGATCTGCCTGGCACAAACACCAGCTGACCCCTCAAAATCAATCAGTTAGCCTCCCCCATCATTTCAATTTGCACCATGCATTGTACAAAGGGTGTTATGGTCTCACATTTGGCACATTTACCTCACCATAATAACATTTAGGCTAGCTGTCACTTGAAATTTGCACCAAAAAAAACAAACAAATAACAAAACAAGATTCACATCACATTAAATAAGTCAATCAAAATCAGGCATTTTAGTGTCTAGTTTTATTATCCCCAACATTAGGATTACAGTGGTAGTCTTTTTTTTTTACAATTGGCTACATATTATTTTAATAAGGGAACCCCCCATTCATTACAATCCACTTTTCGAAGATAAACTGGATATATTTATAGCACAGAACTTAAAATACTTATCTCCTTGTTGAGGAAAGAACTACAAGTTGCCAGTTCAACTTTTAAAAAAAGCCTTCCAGGCTTCACAAAGCAAATTTACCCCAGTGAGTGAGCATGTCTGCATCCTAGCCCAAGATGTACTCTTAAGGAGCCTACCGTAACTCTTTTCAGAGGTAGACTGGCCCTGGAAGCCAAAACAGCCAGATACTCCATCTAAACGTGAATCGATTCTCAATTGCGGTACGGTTCTAGAAACATAAATCCCTCTACTTACTGTACACTGTTTTAACCAGCTTTATCAAAGGTGCCACGACAACACATTTCTAGTGGCCTTCTTCTGTTATACACAGGTTATTTATCAATTTAACTTTTCATTTTTTTGACTATTATTTCTCGCTGATATGAAAGATAAGGTCCGTCTGCTTCCAAAACCGCACCGCAAGCGTGTTAATGTTCAGACCGAGCGTTGGAGCTCTTAACAAAACTCCCCCCCTACAGAAGAATCCTTCATCCAATGACTTATGTGTAAACTAATGGAACTGAGAGTCATGATCAAGGGCTAGTGCGTCCCAAATTGAACCCTTTTCCTTTTATAGTACCCCTAGGGCTCTTGGCAAAAGTAGTGCACTATGAAGGGAACAGAGTACCATTTGTACTCCATATATATACCAAAGGAGTAATAGGCTATTTGGAATAACACATTTCACCCCCTGGTATAGTGAGCATGGTAGGGTAGGGTAGGGTAGGGTGGGGAACGCTGCAGAGATCTCCATTCAGCTGATAGGCAGAGAACATTCACTTGGCTAGAATGGCATCAAACTACTAAATAGTTATTTTGTTTGGGTAACTATTTCATAAATGTATCTAAAATGTGGGCAATCGAGGCACTGTATATCAAGAAGAAATCATCTTGGTAATGGTTCACTTTTCAGAAACACAATGAAATAGTAGGCTACAATGTATTTCACAGTGTTATTATGGGGTATGTATCACCTCCAATGGAAAGACTGTACTAACTAGTACAATGTTTACATAAGGAGTGGTCAATGATACTTCAATAAATAATGCAATAATGCCTATTTGGTTGCTACAGTTTAAAGCTTCTTTACCTTACCTTCTGTAATGTTATGGAGGCCGACTGTTTAGAAGCATTTTCGATTAGTATTTTAATAGTACGAGTGGTTTACAAGGAGACATCTGAGAGATCAAACAAAATAAGGATGATCTCATCTCATGCATTAACACAGTGCAGTTTTACTGTATGGCTTAATGCACGCATTAATACATTTCCCATATGATTATAATTTATGTGCCGTCAGCTCAGAAATATGACAGATTACAATGCCTCTCTGTGTGCCTTTGTGAGCTGCAGCTAGTTGGCATCAGGGGTGTATTCATTAGTGGCACATTGTAGCAAAACATTTTGCGACGAAAATAAGGGTTTCTTATTAGACAAGTTCAGATAGTCCCGCCCCATTCTATTTAGTGTCTAGTGAATATGACCCAGGTTGGAAGGCGGGGCGGGGCGGGGCGGTTAAAAACCCTGACCATCCATAATGGACCTAAACATTTAAAAAGTGCTTTACATTAAGGTTTGTTCAATGTATACGTTCACCTCTAACATCATGAAGTAGTAGTATAATATAATCATACAGAGCAGGTAATGACCAGAGACATATATGTAGAGAGTTGGGACAACTTTTAGAATGTTGAACATTGTTCTAATTCTAGACATTCTGTGACATAGCATTGTTTAAATATGCCCCAGTTTAATGTTAATGGGGAGCTTAACATGGCTGCCATTTAATGTTGTACTGTCATGTAAAATGAATCATAATGTAGAAACCTCAATGTCCCAGCATTCTAAATACATGCCTCTGGTAATGAGTGGGTTGAAGTGGAAATGTATGTCTAGTATTCTGACAGAAGGTGTGTGGAGTGTCGACAGGAGTGTTGTTGTGCTTGTTGTGAGAAACAGGATAGGGTACAATGATGGATGGAATGAAGGAGAGAGAGGGGAGAGAGAGAGGGAGAGAGAAAGAGAGGGGGGGAGAGGGAGGAAAAAGAAAGGGGGGAGAGGGAAGAAGATAGGCGAGGGAAAGAATCGTTGGAATGCAAGTGGAGACTCCTATGTCTATTTGTTCGTGTCACTCGCTCGCTTGTTGCTCTTTACTCTCTCTGTTTTCCTTTCCCTTCCTGGTCGCCGGTCCATCCCCTTCTTTTTTTGTCCCTTTGCTCGATTCCTCGCTGCCAGGTCTCTTTGCGTCGTCGTTTATCGATTCCCTGTAGCCTGACCCCCTCGCCTATGACTTCCTTTCCTTATCACTCTACTCTCCGCTCTCTCTCCTATCTCTCGCTCTCATCTCTCCTCTCTCCTTCCTGAGGAGACGTGAGAGAGAGGGGACAGGATAGAGTGGGAGATATGGCATAAACCTATAGTCATTGCAGGGTCAGTTCCATCTCAATTATGAATTGCATTTACATATAATTGATTGGATGTACAGGACGTATATAGTATATTGTAGCCTGGGTACCTGTCTGTTTGTGCCATCATTCCACTCCTTGCCACTCCTTGTGATTGCCAAACATATGACACGGAGTACAAGGAGTGGAATATTAGCACAAAACAGGACTTCAGGCTAATTCTATTGCACATTTCAGTTTTCCGATTGGTGCAGAGGGTCTCAGTGGCCGACTACATCCGATTGGTGCAGAGGGTCTCAGTGGCCGACTACATCCGATTGGTGCAGAGGGTCTCAGTGGCCGACTACATCCGATTGGTGCAGAGGGTCTCAGTGGCCGGCTACATCCGATTGGTGCAGAGGGTCTCAGCGGCCGGCTACATCCGATTGGTGCAGAGGGTCTCAGTGGCCGACTACATCCGATTGGTGCAGAGGGTCTCAGTGGCCGACTACATCCGATTGGTGCAGAGGGTCTCAGTGGCCGGCTACATCCGATTGGTGCAGAGGGTCTCAGTGGCCGGCTACATCCGATTGGTGCAGAGGGTCTCAGTGGCCGGCTACATCCGATTGGTGCAGAGGGTCTCAGTGGCCGGCTACATCCGATTGGTGCAGAGGGTCTCAGTGGCCGGCTACATCCGATTGGTGCAGAGGGTCTCAGTGGCCGGCTACATCCGATTGGTGCAGAGGGTCTCAGTGGCCGGCTACATCCGATTGGTGCAGAGGGTCTCAGTGGCTGACTACAACAGAAGCCACCGTCATTAGGGGGGTATTCATGAGTGCACACCGTAGCAAAACGTTTCACAATGGAAAATGTTTTGTCACGAAAACAAGAGTTTCTATTGGACAAATTCAGGTAGGTCCCTCTCCGTTTCATTCCGTTCGCTTCCTAGTGAATACACCCCAGGACTAGGGCTGTCTAGGCTTCAAGTCATTTCATTTGAGGATCCAAACCACTCCTTCTTCCAGACTTACAAGATAAGTTATCTCTGCTGTCATCATCCATCATCCTCCTCCCTCCATCGTTTCAGGGCCGTTGGTTACGGAGTGATCTTGACAAGGAGTTATCTTGCTAATTTGTGCCTGGCAAAGTGTTTGAAACTATCCATCTTCGCCACATAAAAAAAAAAGGGGGGAGGGAGGGGGCCGAAAAGTTGAGCACTCGCTTTTTAGGAGTTAATGAGTACATTTGTTCAAATTATTATTTAATTATGTAATTTTTCAAATGATTATTCCTGCTAGTCTTTTTCAATAAAAAAAAAAAGAAAGCAACATCTCCCCTTGACAGCCTTGCCTTGGGAAGTTTTATAATATACATATATAAAAAACAAACACACAAAAACATAACATAAACATGAGGGAAAGCTGGGACTTAAATTAAGACATTGGGTCCCAGATCCGTTTGTGCTGTCTTGCCAACTCCTATGGTCATTGTCAAGCAAATCGTTGGCAAGACAGCACAAACAGACCTGGGACCAGGCTATGATGTGCGGGCGGGGCAGAGCAGACTGGGGGCGGGGCAGTGCAAGGGGCGGAGCTGGGGGAGGTTAAAGGCTACTGGCACATGAGAGCGGGGGTGTCGTCCTCAGTTCCAGATGAGTGTCTATGGTAACGGTGGCTACTATGGTAACGGTCTCTATGGATACTAGCTCTAATCGCTGACTGCGTGGCCTGCTAGTAAGGCCCTTTAGTGTGTCCAAAGATCCCGATGGGGAAATGTTTGACGTGTGACGACCACTGTGCCGCCAACTGGAAAAACTTGACATCATTCCACTCCACGCCGTCAATCAGCACTGGAAGAAAAGAGAGAATTAAAACAAAAAAAACTTTACTTGTTGAATTACTAGTTCTTCATAATCCATGTAATACCAGACTCACTAATACTAGGGGCCAGATTTGGCCCGTGGACCACCAGTTGCAGACCCCTACTCTATGGAGGGTGAAATGAGGACACAACATGGAGGTAGGAGGGTTGCAAAATTCCGGTAACTTTCCCCAAAATTCCAAAAAATCTCAGATTTGAGGATTCCTGGATTTCCTGCTTACTCCCTCCTGACATTAGGAATCTTCCAACCAGGATTTCTGGAAAACCTGGGAAAGTCACTGGAATTTTGCAACCCTAGGAGGTGGGAAGGAGTCTTACCCCTCAGCATGGTCTGCTGGTGCTTGGCAGTGCAGATCAGTCGACTGATGCCCTCGATCACCTGGCTCTTGGACTCCACATCCTTGTCTTTCGTCTTCTTTGGCAGGAACATGACTGGAAACAGGGAACAGAATAGTTAATAATGGCAGATTCCTAACTTGAGATGCGAGTGCTAACCGCGACGATCAACTACCGTCTTTTTTGAGCGAAAACTGAAGTTGTACTTGTTTGACAAAACCACAGCATGCATATGAAAGTAATTCCTTGTCCACATACTGCTTTCAAGGTAAGAAATATATACAGTATTTTGAAAGGAAACAAATGTATACATTTGTATTTGGCGGGACTCTCTCTCTCTGTTACCTACAGTACGGTCCAGTGGCGGTCGGTGCCGTTTAAGATGAGGGGAGGACTTTCAAAAAAAAAATATATAAGCATTGACTTCTATTACAACAGCATATTGGATGACTGTCATTCATATTCCATTCACCCAGCTCAATGTAACATCGATAGGTTTAGGCTACATGATACTCGAATTCTCCCTATACCCATCATGAGGTTGCTACTACCTAGCCTATGAATGAAAGTTTACAACGTAGGTGCACAGGTCGAGAATCTTTCCTGCATCTAGCTGATCTAGGGTGTAATCATTAGTCCAAAAGTTGCAAACAAGAGTTTCTATTGGACGAATTCAGGTATGTTTATCCCCGTTTTGCTTTTAAATAGAATCGGTGAGATGAATACACCCCTGATCACGCGCAAACACAGTTCACTTTCATAGCAGCCACATACAAACAGCATGATCATTTGCTCGTTGTATAATTCCTTCTCGCATCTACGTGCTCTCCTCCTCTCACCTTTTCCCATTCGCTGGTGGACTTCAGTGCACAATACAACAGTTTTCTGTGACCAGGTCGGAAAAAAAACCTTTCCAAGCCAAACCTTCATACCATAATCGCTCACCCCTACACACACCCTACATCGTTGTCACCATATTAGCTAACGCGTTTATAGTCAACATAGCTAGCTACAAGAACTAACATGTTAATAAACCCGACAGTGTACAGCAAGTAGTTTAGCGGGCCCGGTGTACAGCAAGCACCGGCGGGCTCCGGTGGCAATAAATTAATAAAACCTAAAGCTTACCTTGGAAGAGTTCCAGTGTTGGATAGCCAGCTAGCTAGCGAACATAGCATCCCTGTCTGCTTGAGCCAGGTGTTTGAGTAGGTAAGTGAAAGTGGAAAAAAAATACTACAAAAAATAGCTAGCTCTATCTTGCTTCTTAATATATATATATATATTTTTTTTTTAATGTTCAACTATTGTCTGTCTCTCTTTGAGTCAACTACTCGCCACACTGTTGAGGCTACTGTAGACCTTCATTGCAAAACAGTGTGTTTTAATCAATTATTTGGTGGCGTGAATATATTTAGTATAGTTTTATCTTAAAAGGATAACTTTTTTATTGTTTCACTATTCTTATGAAATTTCACTGAGGAGGACGGTCCTCCCCTTTTCTCCTCTGAGGAGCCTCCACTGGTTCGGTCAGTACAAATCCTTACCCTTCTTGTTCTTCTCCTTCATGACGACGGTCATGGACATGGTGGGCTGTGGCTGGGCCCCTGCCTGGGGGAGCCTGCCGACCTGCAGCGAGCGGAACCTACACTTCAGAGTGTTCTTAGAGGAGGAGGAGGAGGAGTCCCTCTTCTCCACGTCTCTCTTCCTGTCAGCCGGGCAGGGAGCCACCCAGTAGTCGACCTGTAGTCCCATCAGCTCCCGCTGGGGAGAACTACAACACCCAGCAGACATCACACCACAGAGGGAGGAAGAGAATCAGGAACACATTGATATGTAGAAACAGACAATAAGATCAGTTAAATGTACAATATATGAAACCATAATTTGCCATATTTGGTCATTTTCCCCCCAGGCGGTTATCCTCTTTACACCTCTACCAGTAGCTGTGTCCATAGACAAATTTATAATACTATTTTTCATTTCATTCTATTCCATTTCATTAAATAAAATATTTTACTGTTTCATTACATATTTATATATTTTTAATTTCTTTTTTCTATTCAATTCTGTGGGTGGACCTGTACCTGTATAAACTGAAGCTTGTGTTGACGGAGGGGGAGGAGGGAGGGGTGGGGGAGGCTTCCTTCAGGGCGGGGGACACCTGAGGAGGGGTGGAGGAGAGGAAAACCATCCCCATGGGGGCTGCATCGTCAGAGTCACCTGATAATATACAGAGAGATAATAGTTCAGCACACTGTATATCATAGATTAAACATGTACAACTACAGAATCCCCATGAAATTAATTCTCCCTGAGGACATGAAAGTACATGCAATAGCATAGGTACATTGTCCACAACTAATGTCTCACCTGATGTTGCAGAAGACTGCTCCACGATGCCAACTTTCACCATCTGGGGAAAGAGGTTTCAAGTTATTTTAGGTCAAATTCCAGGATAAAGAAAACGTATCTACCTACAATATGACAAGGTACGTACTCTCCGGTACTACTACTCACTCTCCGATAAAGGGATCTGTCTACGATAACAGAAAGGTACTTACTCCGATAAAGGGATCTGTCTACGATAACAGAAAGGTACTTACTCCGATAAAGGGATCTGTCTACGATAACAGAAAGGTACTTACTCCGATAAAGGGATCTGTCTACGATAACAGAAAGGTACTTACTCCGATAAAGGGATCTGTCTACGATAACAGAAAGGTACTTACTCCGATAAAGGGATCGTCTACGATAACAGAAAGGTACTTACTACTCCGATAAAGGGATCTGTCTACGATACAGAAAGGTACTTACCTCCGATAAAAGGATCTGTCTACGATGACAGAAAGGTACTTACTCCGATAAGGGGATCTGTCTACGATAACAGAAAGGTACTTACTCCGATAAGGGATCTGTCTACGATAACAGAAAGGTACTTACTCCGATAAAGGGATCTGTCTAACGATAACGAAAGGTACTTGACTACCGATAAAGGGATCTGTCACGAATAACAGAAAGGTACTTACTCCGATAAAGGGATCTGTCTACGATAACAGAAAGGTACTTACTCCGATAAAGGGATCTGTCTACGATAACAGAAAGGTACTTACTCCGATAAAGGGATCTGTCTACGATAACAGAAAGGTACTTACTCCGATAAAGGGGATGAACTTCTGACACGAGTCCTCATCAGGGCTGTAGAGAGACCAGGGCAGAAGCCAAATATAGGGAAACAGGAAATAGAGTGAGCATGTGCAGAATATAATAGATTTAGTATCAGGATGGAGGGTTTGTCTAGTATTGAGACCGAGGCTTCAAGAACCCTATGATGGTTAGAGCTGTAATGTGCTCTGAGCGGCAGGTGGCTTAGTGGTTAAGAGCGTTGTGCCAGTGACCGAAAGGTCGCTGGTTCTAATCCCCGAGCCGACTAGGTGAAAAATCTGTCGATGTGCCCTTGAGCAAGGCACTTAACCCTAATTGCTCCTGTAAGTCGCTCTGGATAAGAGCGTCTGCTAAATGACCAGGCGTTCAGTTGCCCCAGGGTTGGTAAAGCCTTCATCCTACTTATTAATGATGACTCTTTCTACAGATCCCAGGAGACAGATACATCAGCTTGAACACAAGACAGACAGAAACCATTTTAAAAAAATAATCTTAGTGCGGTTTGAAGGAAATATAGTTTCAGAGCAGGGTTGGGGTCAATTGCATTTCAATTCAGTAAGTTAGCAGAGATTTCAATTCCAATTTTACTCATGGCTTGACTGAATTGAAATGGAATTGACCCCAACCTTGTTTGAGAGTCTGGGGTAATCATTTGAAAGAAGAGGGAGTACAAGTTGTGTAGAGAAATGATGGGTGGCTAAAAACAACCCAGACGGATTAAGAAATTATATTTTTCACTTTTACATTTAACATAGTACGGGCTATACTGATACATTTAAACTGTATATAGGGCGGCAGGTAGCTTAGTGGGTAAGAGTGACTAAAAATGTAAACATGTTATATACCTATAGAGGCTCCTCGGGAACAGAGGGAGAAGAGATTGTACAGGTTAATACCACTCTGACCAACCCTACTACAGTAATTCCATGCTAATGGACAGAGAAAGTCACATGATAATTAGTAACCGCTAACTAGTACTACAGGTATTGATCACGGTCTCCTGAAGCAGGAACCATTTAAAAAATGAAAACCCGTTCAAATGCAAATGAAGAGCAATAATTTTGCTTGTTTATGACAAATCCTAAACTCATACAAACACGTTTTGGTTTCGTAGTCTTTGAATTAAATGATTATCATTGTTGGGTGTGTAACTGATTTACATTTATAGAGGGTCGTCGCTTCAATTGTATCCAAGCATTGAGATTCATCAAATCCTTTTAAAGTTCCAAAACAAATCCTGGAGAAACAAACAGTCTGACCCGTTACAATGATGATCATATTTTATTTTTAATAGAAAAAGTATCAACTAAACTACATACCAGTTTGTCAGGTTTTGGTTTGGAACCCACTACTAAAAATCAGATCCAATCATATGCCCGATTGCCCTCTAGTACCCAACAACCCAACACCTGATTGGTGGCAGAGAAGCAGGGTAGCAAAGACATGCAGGCTGCATAGCCAATCACTGGCCTGCACCAAGCCATCCCATCATTCCTGCTGCAGCCAATCAGACACCACCACACCAACAGGGCACAATGCACAGGTAGGTTTCAGGAACAGGCATGTCACGGTCCAGCAGGTCACAGCACCAACTAGCAGGGCTGGGGTCAATTCCAATTCAATTTCAGCCAATTCATGAAGTAAACTAAAATGACGATTCCAATTCTCTTCCAATGCTTTTCAATGAGGAACGTTTTTAATTGGAATTTGGGGTTTACTTACTGAATTGACTGGAATTTAAATGGAATTGACCCCAACCCTGCCAGCTAGGCTAGGGAACTGCCATCCACCACACACTCCTTCCCACCCCCTCACAGGGCTCTGGTCAAACGTAGCGCACTATATAGGTAACAGGGTGCCGTTTGGGGCACAAGCCCAGATGTATGGCCAGGGTACATGCATTAATGTTCCATTAGACCATGTTAGAAAACAGGAGAGTCGATCTAGCAGGAAGCTTTATTACATCACACACACGGAGACAATGGGTATGAAACAGAGAGGAGGGAGGAAGAGGGGGAGTAAAGGAGGAGAGAGAGAGAACAGCAAGGAGGGAGGAAGAGAGAACAGCAGTCTGTAACTGACAACCTGACACTATCAGTACACTTCTAATAGATTCATTTTTTTCGTGTGTGTATTTGTCAGGGATCATGCGCGACAAATATTTGACCATATTTAGCTACATAACTTATTAGTCATGTCTGGCTTAAGTTGATAGACCATGGAGCATGCAACGTCAGGATCGTTGTCGGTTCGATTCCCGCTGGGGCCACCCATACGAAAATGCACACAATACTGTAAGTGGCTTTGTATAAAAGCGTTGGCTAAATGCCCTATATTATTATGAGTAATGCTAACAGGGTAAGGATTGTGTGTTTGTTAGCAGCTGGCTGTTAGTGTCAGGTTACAGTTACAGACTGCTGAGGAGAGTGGATGGAGAGAGAGAGAGACAGAGAGAGAGCGAGAGACAGAGAGAGAGAAAGAGAGAGAGAGAGAGAAAGCGAGAGAGAGAGACAGAGAGACAGCGAGAGAGAGAGACAGCGAGAAAGAGAGAGAGAGAGACAGAGAGAGAGAGAGAGAGAGAGAGAGAGAGAGAGAGAGAGAGAGAGAGAGAGAGAGAGAGAGAGAGACAGAGAGAAAGAGAGAGAGAGAGAGAGAGAGAGACAGCGAGAGAGAGAGACAGCGAGAAAGAGAGAGAGAGAGACAGAGAGAAGAGAGAGAGAGAGAGAGAGAGAGAGAGAGAGAGAGCACCAGGAGAAGCAGACTCAAGCAGACCACAATACCTTACTGCAAAATCAAAATGAAAGCTCTTTTTCCTTCAAAGATGGCAAAAAAAAAAAATAACATAAACAAAAGAACATGTTATTGACAAACACAGTGATGGACAGACAGACAACGGCATTGGTTGACAGGGTTCTGTTCTCAACAGACCAATGAACAGGCTCCCAAGTAGGGTTGAATTCTAGTAACTTTCCAAGGGAAACAGGTAAATCTGGAATCATCCAACCAAGATTTCTGGAGAACTTGGAAAAGTTACCAGAATTTTGCAACCCTACTCCAATATGAACTATGTGTCAGTACTGTGGCACTATAATTCCCTAGAAAAATAAATGAGCTAAAAGCTACACTACCGTTCAAAAGTTTGGGGTCACTTAGAAATGTCCTTGTTTTTGAAAGAAAAGGCATTTTTTTGTCCATTAAAATAACATCTAATTGATCAGAAATACAGTGTAGACATTGTTAATGTTGTAAATGGCTATTGTAGCTGGAAACTGATGATTTTTTTATGGAATATCTACATAGGTGTACAGAGGCCCATTATCAGCAACCATCAGTCCTGTGTTCCAATGGCACGTTGTGTTTGCTAATCCAAGTTTATCATTTTAAAAGGCTAATTGATTATTAGAAAACCCTTCTGCAATTATGTTAGCACAGCTGAAAACTGTTGTGCTGATTAAAGAAGCAATAAAACTGGCCTTCTTGAGACTAGTTGAGTATCTGGAGCATCAGCAATTGTGGGTTCGATTACAGGCTCAAAATGGCCAGAAACAAAGAACTGAAACTCGTCAGTCTATTCTTGTTCTGAGAAATGAAGGCTATTCCATGCGAGAAATTGCCAAGAAACTGAAGATCTCGTACAGCGCTGTGTACTACTCCCTTCACAGAACAGCGCAAACTGGCTCTAACCAGAATAGAAAGACGAGTGGGAGGCCCCGGTGCACAACTGAGCAAGAGGACAAATACATTAGAGTGTCTAGTTTGAGAAACAGGCGCCTCACAGGTCCTCAACTGGCAGCTTCATTGAATAGTACCCGCAAAACACCAGTCTCAACGTCAACAGTGAAAAATACATATCTCAGACTGCCCATCTTAATCTTTTCTTTTTATTGGCCAGTCTGAGATATGGCCTTTTCTTTGCAACTCTGCCTAGAAGGTCAGCATCCCGGAGTCGCCTCTTCACTGTTGACGTTGAGACTGATGTTTTGCAGGTACTATTTAATGAAGCTGCCAGTTGAGGACCTGTGAGGCGTCTGTTTCTCAAACTAGACACTAATATATTTATCCTCTTGCTCAGTTGTGCACTGGGGCCTCCCACTCGTCTTTCTATTCTGGTTAGAGCCAGTTTGCGCTGTTCTGTGAAGGGAGTAGTACACAGCGCTGTACGAGATCTTCAGTTTCTTGGCAATTTCTCGCATGGAATAGCCTTCATTTCTCAGAACAAGAATAGACTGACGAGTTTCAGTTCTTTGTTTCTGGCCATTTTGAGCCTGTAATCGAACCCACAATTGCTGATGCTCCAGATACTCAACTAGTCTCAAGAAGGCCAGTTTGTATTGCTTCTTTAATCAGCACAACAGTTTTCAGCTGTGCTAACATAATTGCAGAAGGGTTTTCTAATAATCAATTAGCCTTTTAAAATGATAAACTTGGATTAGCAAACACAACGTGCCATTGGAACACAGGACTGATGGTTGCTGATAATGGGCCTCTGTACGCCTATGTAGATATTCCATTAAAAATCAGCCAATTCCAGCTACAATAGCCATTTACAACATTAACAATGTATACACTGTATTTCCGATCAATTGAATGTTATTTTAAATGGACAAAAAAAATTGCTTTTCTTTCGAAAACAAGGACATTTCTAAGTGACCCCAAACTTTTGAACGGTAGTGTACATCTACAAGTCAAAGACAACAATTCCTCAAGAATGCTATTAGCTGTTCATTAAGTAGCTGTTAATAGACTCACATAAAGGGCTACATTTTCGTCATGCAAAATAATTACCGTAAACCTCATTATAAAATCGGGCAGCGTGATTTAATTTGAAACTTGTATTCAACAATGTGCGTTATAAGGAGGCTAATATTTAACTAGAGTTTAGTAAACTGAGCGTGAAAAAGTGTTTAGAATTCTCTGAGTGGGAGCAGAATTCATTGTTCCTTCAATGATGACAAGTCGTCCAGGTCCTGAGGCAGCAAAGCATCCCCAAACCATCACACTACCACCACCATGCTTGATCGTTGGTATGAGGATCTTATTGTGGAATGCAGTGTTTGGTTTTCGGCAGACATAATGGCACTTTAATAATGTTTACATAATGTTTATAATGTTTACATATCTTGCACTACTCATCTCATATGTATATAATGTATTCTATACTATTTTACTGTATCTTAGTCCATGCCGCTCTGTCATTGCTTCTCCATATATGTATATATTCTTAAATCCCATTCCTTACTAGTTTTGTGTGTATTGGGTATATGTTGTGAAATTGTTAGATATTACTTGTTAGATATTACTGCACTGCCGGAGCTAGAAGCACAAGCATTTCGCTACACCCGCTATAACATCTGCTAAACACGTGTATGTGACAAATAACATTTGATTTGATTTGACTCACGTCGTCCAAAAAGTCCCATCCAGTTTGCCCAAAACGCACCTGGAAGCACCTGTCAAGACTGGTCAAGACTGGTCAAGACTGGTCAAGACTGGCCAAGACTGGCCAAGACTCAAAAGTGGAACTTTTTGGACGACGTGAAGGAACCATGAATTCTGCTCTGTATCAGAGAATTCTAAAGGAGAATGTCAGACCATCCGTCTGTGAGCTGAAGCACAGCTGGGTCACGCAGCAAGACAATTATCCAAAACCCACATGCAACTCTACATCAGAATGGCTGAAAAGCAACAAATATGACGTTTTTGAATGGTCTAGTCAAAGTCCAGACCCTGAACCCGACTGCGATGTTGAAGCAGTACCGAAATAGAGCAGTTCATGCTCGAAAACACACAAATGTTGCTGAGTTAAAGCAGTTCTGCATGGGAGAGTGGGCCAAAATTCCTCCACAGCGACGTGAGACTGATCAAGAACCACCATGAAGTGTTTGGTTGCAGTTATTGCAGCTAAAGGTGGCTCAACCAGTTATTGCAGCTAAAGGTGGCTCAACCAGTTATTGCAGCTAAAGGTGGCTCAACCAGTTATTGCAGCTAAAGGTGGCTCAACCAGTTATTGCAGCTAAAGGTGGCTCAACCAGTTATTGCAGCTAAAGGTGGCTCAACCAGTTATTGCAGCTAAAGGTGGCTCAACCAGTTATTGCAGCTAAAGGTGGCTCAACCAGTTATTGCAGCTAAAGGTGGCTCAACCAGTTATTGCAGCTAAAGGTGGCTCAACCAGTTATTGCAGCTAAAAGGTGGCTCAACCAGTTATTGCAGCTAAAGGTGGATCAACCAGTTATTGCAGCTAAAGGTGGCTCAACCAGTTATTGCAGCTAAGGTGGCTCAACCAGTTATTGCAGCTAAAGGTGGCTCAACCAGTTATTGCAGCTAAGGTGGCTCAACCAGTTATTGCAGCTAAAGGTGGATCAACCAGTTATTGCAGCTAAAGGTGGCTCAACCAGTTATTGCAGCTAAAGGTGGCTCAACCAGTTATTGCAGCTAAAGGTGGCTCAACCAGTTATTGCAGCTAAAGGTGGCTCAACCAGTTATTGCAGCTAAAGGTGGCTCAACCAGTTATTGCAGCTAAAGGTGGCTCAACCAGTTATTGCAGCTAAAGGTGGCTCAACCAGTTATTGCAGCTAAAAGGTGGCTCAACCAGTTATTGAGTGTAAGGGGGCAATTCCTTTTTCACACAGGGGCATTGGGTCTTGCATAACTTTGTTTATGAAATAAATGAAATAAGTATGTAATTGTTGTGTTATTGGTTCACTCAGGTTCCCTTTATCTAATATCCGGTTTTGGTTGAAGATCTGATAACATTCAGTGTCAAAAATATGCAAAAATCTGAAAGGGGGAAAATATTTTTCACAGCACTGTAGTCGCCTCTTTATAATCCAGTTTGTTGAAGAAAAGTTTAAAATGAAATCACGCTACCAGATTATGAGATTTATAGTAACATAACAGCACATTACTTATGCAATATAAAAATTCATCCCATAAAGTTGTGAGATAACAATGTGTCTGTTATGTGTGTGTGTGTGTGTGTGTTGCCCTTACCTCCTTTGTTTGTATGTGAGCATGGCCTCAGCGATGGGGAGCTGGTGAGCTCCGTTGGCCCCGACCATATACTGGGTTACCCTGGAAACCACGTCTGGACTCTCCTGCACTGCACACGACATGCCAGGATTGGTTGATTGATTAATTGATGGCATTTATTGTGGCTCAAGAGGAAATTCTTTCTACAGCTTTTACAGGTTACATAAACACTCTGATACTATTCTGTTTTCGCAATAGCTACGCCTGGTCCCAGATCTGTTGGTGCTATCATGTCAACTCCTTGTTCTGGTCCCAGATCTGTTGGTGCTATCATGTCAACTCCTTGTTCTGGTCCCAGATCTGTTGGTGCTATCATGTCAACTCCTTGTTCTGGTCCCAGATCTGTTGGTGCTATCATGTCAACTCCTTGTTCTGGTCCCAGATCTGTTGGTGCTATCATGGTCAACTCCTTGTTCTGGTCCCAGATCTGTTGGTGCTATCATGTCAACTCCTTGTTCTGGTCTCAGATCTGTTGGTGCTATCATGTCAACTCCTTGTTCTGGTCCCAGATCTGTTGGTGCTATCATGTCAACTCCTTGTTCTGGTCCCAGATCTGTTGGTGCTATCATGTCAACTCCTTGTTCTGGTCCCAATCTGTTGGTGCTATCATGTCAACTCCTTGTTCTGGGTCCCAGATCTGTGGTGCTATCATGTCAACTCCTTGTTCTGGTCCCAGATCTGTTGGTGCTATCATGTCAACCTCCTTGTTCTGGTCCCCAGTCTGTTGGTGCTATCATGTCAACTCCTTGTTCTGGTCCAGATCTGTTGGTGCTATCATGTCAACTCCTTATTCTGGTCTCAGATCTGTTGGTTCTATCATGTCAACTCCTTGTTCTGGTCCCCAGATCTGTTGGTGCTATCATGTCAACTCCTTGTTCTGGTCCCAGATCTGTTGGTGCTATCATGTCAACTCGTTGTTCTGGTCCCAGATCTGTTGGTGCTATCATGTCAACTCCTTGTTCTGGTCCCAGATCTGTTGGTGCTATCATGTCAACTCCTTATTCTGGTCTCAGATCTGTTGGTGCTATCATGTCAACTCCTTGTTCTGGTCTCAGATCTGTTGGTGCTATCATGTCAACTCCTTGTTCTGGTCCCAGATCTGTTGGTGCTATCATGTCAACTCCTTGTTCTGGTCCCAGATCTGTTGGTGCTATCATGTCAACTCGTTGTTCTGGTCCCAGATCTGTTGGTGCTATCATGTCAACTCCTTGTTCTGGTCCCAGATCTGTTGGTGCTATCATGTCAACTCCATATTTTGGTCCCAGATCTGTTGGTGCTATCATGTCAACTCCTTGTTCTGGTCCCAGATCTGTTGGTGCTATCATGTCAACTCCTTATTCTGGTCCCAGATCTGTTGGTGCTATCATGTCAACTCCTTGTTCTGGTCCCAGATCTGTTGGTGCTATCATGTCAACTCCTTGTTCTGGTCCCAGATCTGTTGGTGCTATCATGTCAACTCCTTGTTCTGGTCTCAGATCTGTTGGTGCTATCATGTCAACTCCTTGTTCTGGTCTCAGATCTGTTGGTGCTATCATGTCAACTCCTTGTTCTGGTCCCAGATCTGTTGGTGCTATCATGTCAACTCCTTGTTCTGGTCCCAGATATGTTGGTGCTATCATGTCAACTCCTTGTTCTGGTCCCAGATCTGTTGGTGCTATCATGTCAACTCCTTGTTCTGGTCCCAGATCTGTTGGTGCCATCATGTCAACTCCTTGTTCTGGTCCCAGATCTGTTGGTGCTATCATGTCAACTCCTTGTTCTGGTCCCAGATCTGTTGGTGCTATCATGTCAACTCCTTGTTCTGGTCCCAGATCTGTTGGTGCTATCATGTCAACTCCTTGTTCTGGTCCCAGATCTGTTGGTGCTATCATGTCAACTCCTTGTTCTGGTCTCAGATCTGTTGGTGCTATCATGTCAACTCCTTGTTCTGGTCTCAGATCTGTTGGTGCTATCATGTCAACTCCTTGTTCTGGTCCCAGATCTGTTGGTGCTATCATGTCAACTCCTTGTTCTGGTCCCAGATCTGTTGGGTGCTATCATGTCAACTCCTTGTTCTGGTCCCAGATCTGTTGGTGCTATCATGTCAACTCCTTATTCTGGTCCCAGATCTGTTGGTGCTATCATGTCAACTCCTTATTCTGGTCCCAGATCTGTTGGTGCTATCATGTCAACTCCTTGTTCTGGTCCCAGATCTGTTGGTGCTATCATGTCAACTCCTTGTTCTGGTCCCAGATCTGTTGGTGCTATCATGTCAACTCCTTGTTCTGGTCTCAGATCTGTTGGTGCTATCATGTCAACTCCTTGTTCTGGTCCCAGATCTGTTGGTGCTATCATGTCAACTCCTTGTTCTGGTCTCAGATCTGTTGGTTGCTATCATGTCAACTCCTTGTTCTGGTCTCAGATCTGTTGGTGCTATCATGTCAACTCCTTGTTCTGGTCCCAGATCTGTTGGTGCTATCATGTCAACTCGTTGTTCTGGTCCCAGATCTGTTGGTGCTATCATGTCAACTCCTTGTTCTGGTCCCAGATCTGTTGGTGCTATCATGTCAACTCCTTATTCTGGTCCCAGATCTGTTGGTGCTATCATGTCAACTCCTTATTCTGGTCCCAGATCTGTTGGTGCTATCATGTCAACTCCTTGTTCTGGTCCCAGATCTGTTGGTGCTATCATGTCAACTCCTTGTTCTGGTCATAGATCTGTTGGTGCTATCATGTCAACTCCTTGTTCTGGTCCCAGATCTGTTGGTGCTATCATGTCAACTCCTTGTTCTGGTCCCAGATCTGTTGGTGCTATCATGTCAACTCCTTGTTCTGGTCCCAGATCTGTTGGTGCTATCATGTCAACTCCTTGTTCTGGTCCCAGATCTGTTGGTGCTATCATGTCAACTCCTTATTCTGGTCTCAGATCTGTTGGTGCTATCATGTCAACTCCTTGTTCTGGTCTCAGATCTGTTGGTGCTATCATGTCAACTCCTTGTTCTGGTCCCAGATCTGTTGGTGCTATCATGTCAACTCATTGTTCTGGTCCCAGATCTGTTGGTGCTATCATGTCAACTCCTTGTTCTGGTCTCAGATCTGTTGGTGCTATCATGTCAACTCCTTGTTCTGGTCTCAGATCTGTTGGTGCTATCATGTCAACTCCTTGTTCTGGTCCCAGATCTGTTGGTGCTATCATGTCAACTCCTTGTTCTGGTCCCAGATCTGTTGGTGCTATCATGTCAACTCCTTGTTCTGGTCCCAGATCTGTTGGTGCTATCATGTCAAACTCCTTGTTCTGGTCCGACATCTGTTGGTGCTATCATGTCAACTCCTTGTTCTGGTCCCAGATATGTTGGTGCTATCATGTCAACTCCTTGTTCTGGTCCCAGATCTGTTGGTGCTATCATGTCAACTCCTTGTTCGGGTCATAGATCTGTTGGTGCTATCATGTCAACTCCTTGTTCTGGTCATAGATCTGTTGGTGCGATCATGTCAACTCCTTGTTCTGGTCATAGATCTGTTGGTGCGACCATGTCAACTCCTTGTTCTGGTCCCAGATCTGTTGGTGCTATCATGTCAACTCCTTGTTCTGGTCCCAGATATGTTGGTGCTATCATGTCAACTCCTTGTTCTGGTCCCAGATCTGTTGGTGCTATCATGTCAACTCCTTGTTCTGGTCCCAGATCTGTTGGTGCTATCATGTCAACTCCTTGTTCTGGTCATATATCTGTTGGTGCTATCATGTCAACTCCTTGTTCTGATCCCAGATCTGTTGGTGCTATCATGTCAACTCCTTGTTCTGGTCCCAGATCTGTTGGTGCTATCATGTCAACTCCTTGTTCTGGTCTCAGATCTGTTGGTGCTATCATGTCAACTCCTTGTTCTGGTCTCAGATCTGTTGGTGCTATCATGTCATCTCCTTGTTCTGGTCCCAGATCTGTTGGTGCTATCATGTCAACTCCTTGTTCTGGTCCCAGATCTGTTGGTGCTATCATGTCAACTCCTTGTTCTGGTCCCAGATCTGTTGGTGCTATCATGTCAACTCCTTGTTCTGGTCCCAGATCTGTTGGTGCTATCATGTCAACTCCTTGTTCGGGTCATAGATTTGTTGGTGCTATCATGTCAACTCCTTGTTCTGGTCCCAGATCGGTTGGTGCTATCATGTCAACTCCTTGTTCTGGTCCCAGATCTGTTGGTGCTATCATGTCAACTCCTTGTTCTGGTCCCAGATCGGTTGGTGCTATCATGTCAACTCCTTGTTCTGGTCCCAGATCTGTTGGTGCTATCATGTCAACTCCTTGTTCGGGTCCCAGATCTGTTGGTGCTATCATGTCAACTCCTTGTTCTGGTCATAGATCTGTTGGTGCTATCATGTCAACTCCTTGTTCTGGTCCCAGATCTGTTGGTGCTATCATGTCAACTCCTTGTTCTGGTCCCAGATCTGTTGGTGCTATCATGTCAACTCCTTGTTCTGGTCCCAGATCTGTTGGTGCTATCATGTCAACTCCTTGTTCTGGTCCCAGATCTGTTGGTGCTATCATGTCAACTCCTTGTTCTGGTCCCAGATCTGTTGGTGCTATCATGTCAACTCCTTGTTCTGGTCATATATATTTTAGTGCTATCATGTCAACTCCTTGTTCTGGTCCCAGATCTGTTGGTGCTATCATGTCAACTCCTTGTTCTGGTCATAGATCTGTTGGTGCTATCATGTCAACTCCTTGTTCTGGTCCCAGATCTGTTGGTGCTATCATGTCAACTCCTTGTTCTGGTCCCAGATCTGTTGGTGCTGAGACAAGGCAGAACAAGGAGTTGACATGATAGCACCAACAGATCTGGGATCAGGCTAGCTCTGTACAGCTGACTAGATACATGTGGTAGTACTGTAGCTGTGTGTATGTGCGTGTTAAGCCTGTCCTACCCATGACTGGAGCTTCTGGCTTGTGAAACAGGTCCCTCCACGCAGTATCCTGGAATAAACTGTTGTATCGATAGTCGATGGTACCCAGGTATTTGGAGACTGGGTGAGATCCTGAATACAATCAAAGAATAGACAACACATTATACACAATAAGAGTCTACCTTTAGAAAAGCGTGTATATAGAAATGTATATATTTTTTGGTTGTATTTTATCCCCTTTTTCTCCCCAATTACGATCTTGTCTCATCGCTGCTACTCCCCAACGGGCTCGGTAGAGGCGAAGGTCGAGTTATGCGTCCTCCGAAACATGACCCGCCAAACCGCGCTTCTTAACACCCGCCTGCTTAACCCGGAAGCCAGCTGCACCAATGTGTCAGAGGAAACACTGTTCAACTGACGAGGTCAGGCGCCCGGGCCCGCCACAAGGAGTCACTAGAGCGCGATGAGCCAAGTAAAACCTCCCCCGGCCAAACCCTCCCCTAACCCGGATGACGCTGGGACAATTGTGCGCCGCCCTATGGGACTCCCCATCACGGCCGGTTGTGACACACCCTGGGATCGAACCCGGGTCTGTAGCGATGTATATAGTGGGCCTTAGACCACTGCGCCACTCGGGAGGCCCTAGAAATGTTTAATTTAAACTAAACAAAGACATATATACAGTACATACCAACTGTAATGTCTGAATGAATTAAAACATGAATGGAAGTATAGCGCATTCGGGAAGTATTCAGACCCCTTCCTCCACATTTTGTTACGTTACAGCCTTATTCTAAATTCACAATACCCCATAATGACAAAGTGAAAACAGGTTTTTAGAAATGTTTGCACATTTATTAAATAAAAAAACAGAAATACCTTATTTACATAAGTATTCAGACCTTTGCTATGAGACTCGAAAAATGCGCTCAGGTGCATCCTGTTTCCATTGATCAACCTTGAGATGTTTCTACAACTTGATTGGATGTCAGAGCAAAAACCAAGCCATGACGTCGAAGGAATTGTCCATAGAGCTCCGAGACAGGATTGTATCGAGGCACAGATCTGGGAAAGGGTACCAAAAAATATCTGCAGCATTGAAGGTCCCCAAAAACCCAGTGGCCTCCATCATTCTTAACTGAAAGAAGTTTGGAACCACCAAGACTCTTCCTAGAGCTGTCCGCCCAGCCAACATGAGCAATCGGGGGAGAAGGGCGTTGGTCAGGGAGGTGACCAAAAACCTGATGGTCATACTGACAGCGCTCCAGAGTTCCTCTGTGGAGATGGGAGAACCTTCCAGAAGGACAACCATCTCTGCAGTACTCCACCAATCAGGCCTTTATGGTAGAGTGGCCAGACGGAAGCCACTCCTTAGTAAAAGGCACATGACAGCCTGCTTGAAGTTTGCCAAAAGGCACCTAAAGGACTCTGACCATGAGAAACAAGATTCTCTTGTCTGATGAAACCAAGATTGAACTCTTTGGCCTGAATGCCAAGCGTCACGTCTGGAGGAAACCTGGCACCATCCCTACGGTGAAGCATGGTGGTGGCGGCATCATGCTGTGGGAATGTTTTTCAACGGCAGGGACTGGGAGACTAGTCAGGATCGAGGGAAAGATGAACGGAGAAAAGTATGCATTTCTATGGGCTAATAGCATTAAGTCCAAATTCAATGTTTCATCAAATATGTTTTTTTATATATCTTTTTTTTATACCTAAAGGGGTCCTAAAATTCAAAATCAAATATCTAAAAGATCCTTAATATGACCTTTAAAAAAAAAATCCACGTTAGCTTAGTAAGCCATTTCGTTTACGCCAGATCAAGCCTCCATCAAGTCGTTTTTTCTTTGTCATTAAAATAAAATAATTCAAACAAATAATGTAATCATTATAACATTAAAAGTAATTCATCCATCCATCCATTAACTCACCTAGCGGAATGATGAGGAACCTCATGTAGCCCAGCCAATCAGGGGTCTTGTGAGACAGGTGGTCTACGAACAGCCTGAGCACTGCACCGAGGTAGTGTTGAGCCCCAGCCACAGCTATCTTTATGGGGATGGGCGTCTGGCTGTTACAGTTACAACTACATAGAAACACACAGAAACATATGAGAGGGGACGGCATAAGACTGTTGTCGTATTTTCCCCAGCTTACGCTCACATGTACTTTTATTCACTGATTAATGAATTCTATGTACAGTGGGGGGGAAAAAAGTATTTAGTCAGCCACCAATTGTGCACGTTTTCCCACTTAAAAAGATGAGAGAGGCCTGTAATTTTCATCATAGGTACACGTCAACTACGACAGACAAATTGAGAAGAAAAAAATCCAGAAAATCACATTGTAGGATTTTTAATGAATTTATTTGCAAATTATGGTGGAAAATAAGTATTTGGTCACCTACAAATAAGCAAGATTTCTGGCTCTCACAGACCTGTAACTTCTTCTTTAAGAGGCTCCTCTGTCCTCCACTCGTTACCTGTATTAATGGCACCTGTTTGAACTTGTTATCAGTATAAAATACACCTGTCCACAACCTCAAACAGTCACACTCCAAACTCCACTATGGCCAAGACCAAAGAGCTGTCAAAGGAGACCAGAAACAAAATTGTAGACCTGCACTAGGCTGGGAAGACTGAATCTGCAATAGGTAAGCAGCTTGGTTTGAAGAAATCAACTGTGGGAGCAATTATTAGGAAATGGAAGACATACAAGACCACTGATAATCTCCCTCGATCTGGGGCTCCACGCAAGATCTCACCCCGTGGGGTCAAAATGATCACAAGAACGGTGAGCAAAAATCCCAGAACCACACGGGGAGACCTAGTGAATGACCTGCAGAGAGCTGGGACCAAAGTAACAAAGCCTCCCATCAGTAACACACTACGCCGCCAGGGACTCAAATCCTGCAGTGCCAGACGTGTCCCCCTGCTTAAGCCAGTACATGTCCAGGCCCGTCTGAAGTTTGCTAGAGTGCATTTGGATGATCCAGAAGAGGATTGGGAGAATGTCATATGGTCAGATGAAACCAAAATAGACCTTTTTGGTAAAAACTCAACTCGTCGTGTTTGGAGGACAAGGAATGCTGAGTTGCATCCAAAGAACACCATACCTACTGTGAAGCATGTGGGTGGAAACATCATGCTTTGGGGATGTTTTTCTGCAAAGGGACCAGGACGACTGAACCGTGTAAAGGAAAGAATGAATGGGGCCATGTATCGTGAGATTTTGAGTGAAAACCTCCTTCCATCAGCAAGGGCATTGAAGATGAAACGTGGCTGGGTCTTTCAGCATGACAATGATCCCAAACACACCGCCCGGGCAACGAAGGAGTGGCTTCGTAAGAAGCATTTCAAGGTCCTGGAGTGGCCTAGCCAGTCTCCAGATCTCAACCCCATAGAAAATCTTTGGAGGGAGTTGAAAGTCTGTGTTGCCCAGCGACAGCCCCAAAACATCACTGCTCTAGAGGAGATCTGCATGGAGGAATGGGCCAAAATACCAGCAACAGTGTGTGAAAACCTTGTGAAGACTTACAGTAAACGTTTGACCTGTGTCATTGCCAACAAAGGGTATATAACAAAGTATTGAGAAACTTTTGTTATTGACCAAATACTTATTTTCCACCATAATTTGCAAATTAATTCATTAAAAATCCTACATTTTGTCTGTCATAGTTGACGTGTACCTATGATGAAAATTACAGGCCTCTCTCATCTTTTTAAGTGGGAGAACTTGCACAATTGGTGGCTGACTAAATACCTTTTTTTCCCCCCACTGTATACAATACATGTTGGTTGAATACAGCTGCATCTCTTAACTGGCCAATTTAGTTACAATATAGCTTTTCTGAATCTGAATCTACTGTAATGGCTGAAGAGAAAGAGAGGGAGGCTTACTATCTCTGTATGCGTGAGACGATGGTGTTGAAGGCAGCCTGGAGGTCTGCTGTGGTGCAGGTACACACCACTGGGAGGTGGTGGTTCTGGAGAACATCTGACAGATACTGAAAGAACAGATTTTTTTGTATTTATTAGGATCCCCCATTAGTCGACGCCAATGGCGACAGCTATTCTTACTGGGGTCCGACACATAACGAAAAGAACATTACAGCCAAAATTTCTTGACATACATTAAAAAAATTAACGTGTAGTGTGTATGTACATCTATCAGTTACACATACATGTCAGTACATACACACAACAAGTAGGTCACATGGGGAGACGTGTTGTGCTGTGAGGTGTTGCTTTATTTGTTTTTTGAAACCAGGTCACTTGCACTATATAAGATGGAAGGGAGTTCCATGCACTCATGGCTCTGTATAATACTGTGCGTTTCCTTGAATTTGTTCTGGACCTGGGGACTGTGAAAAGACCCCTGGTGGCATGTCTGGTGGGGTAAGTGTGTGTGTCAGTGCTGTGTAAGTTGACTATGCAAACAATTTGGAATTTCCAATACATTGTTTCTTATAAAAACAAGAAGTGATGCAGTTAGTCTTTCCTCAACTCTTAGCCAAGAGTGACTGACATGCATAGTATTAATATTAATATATGGTTGAATCATCAGCATACATGGACACACAAGCTTTGTTTAATGCGAGTGGCAGGTCATTGGTAAAAATAGAAAAGAGTAGAGGGCCTAGAGAGCTGCCCTGCGGTACACCACACTTTACATGTTTGACATTAGAGAAGCTTCCATTAAAGAAAACCCTCTGAGTTATACTATATAGATAGTTCTGAATCCACGATATGGCAGAGGTTGAAAAGCCATAACACATAAGTTCTCAACAACAGCTTATGGTCAATAATATCAAAGGCTGCACATAAATCTAACAGTACAGCTCCCACAACCTTCTTATTATCAAATTATTTCAACCAATCATCAGTCATTTGTGTCAGTGCAGTACATGTTGAGTGCCCTTCTCTATAAGCAGCTGAAAGTTAATTTGTTTACAGAGAAATAGCATTGTATTTGGTAAAACACAATTTTTTCCAACATTTTGATAAGAGCTGGCACAGCGCTGATAGGTCTGCTGTTAGAACCAGTAAAGGCCGCTTTACCACTCTTAGGTACCAGAATGACGTTGGCTTCCCTCCAGGCCTGAGGACAAATACTTTCCTCTAGGCTCAGATTAAAGATATGACATACAGGAGTGGCTATAGAGTCAGCTACCATCCTCAGTAGCTTTTCATCTAAGTTGTCAATTTCAGGAGGTTTGTCATATTTGATCGATAACAATAATTTTTCCACCTCTCCCACACTAACAAAATTCAAACTTGCTATGCTTTTCTTTCATTATTTGTTTTTTTTATGCATGAGTACAATGGCTCACTGTTAGTTGTTGGCATTTTCTGCCTAAGTTTGCCCACATTGCCAATGAAGTAATCGTTAACATAATTGGCAACATCAAATGGTTTTGTGATGAATAAGCCATCTGATTCGATGAAAGATGTGCAGCCAGACTTATTAGACCCATCTCTTTCAACCATACAGTTTTTCAATTCCTCATCAATCCATGGAGCCTTAACAGTTCTAACAGTCAGTTTCTTAACAGGTGCATGTTTATCAATAATTGGAAGAAGCAATTTCATAAATTAATCAAGTGCAGCGTCTGGATGCTCCTTATTAAAATCACATCAGACCAACAAATATTTTTAACATCATCCACGTAATTGTCACAGCAAAATCTTTTGTATGATCTCTTATACACTATTTTAGGTCCAGCTTTGGAACTTTGGCTTTCCTGGATATAGCCACTATATTGTGATCACTGCATCCAATGGGTACGGATTAGGGCTCTTGGTCTTCAAGAGTCGTCTGTTCTTTCGACCAATCGATTGGTTGAAATTCTAAAACGTGTATTTTTCCATATATTGACACATCCTATGTGTTTTAATCAAATCAACTGTATCCACTGAGCTTGTCTGATGCTTTAAGCACGCGGTTTGATGACATTATTAAGACGCACAAATGACTAGAGGGAGTCTGACCAGCAATTGATTTGATTGTGCCGGGCCGGTCTCAGACTTTCTGCGCTGTGTTAAGAAAGAAAGACCGCAAGTGACTGTGTGACTATCACCCGTTGTCTCTCTCTCCTCCCTGCTGCAGTGACCACCACAGATCATCAAAGTGTTTATCGCTCTTTTCTGTGTTGCTGAAGCTACAACATAATTACAGCCATTGCTGACTGAAAAGTTCTGTTCTGTTACTGAAATCCCTCATTTGTTCAGGAAAAACATTCCCTATTCCCTCAACCCTTGCTCTCTTTACGTGACACATGTACAGTGGGGAGAACAAGTATTTGATACACTGCCGATTTTGCAGGTTTTCCTACTTACAAAGCATGTAGAGGTCTGTAATTTTTTATCATAGGTACACTTCAACTGTGAGAGACGGAATCTAAAACAAAAATCCAGAAAATCAAATTGTATGATTTTTAAGTAATTAATTTGCATTTTATTGCATGACATAAGTATTTGATCACCTACCAACCAGTAAGAATTCCGGCTCTCACAGACCTGTTAGTTTTTCTTTAAGAAGCCCTCCTGTTCTCCACTCATTACCTGTATTAACTGCACCTGTTTGAACTCGTTACCTGTATAAAAGACACCTGTCCACACACTCAATCAAACAGACTCCAACCTCTCCACAATGGCCAAGACCAGAGAGCTGTGTAAGGACATCAGGGATAAAATTGTAGACCTGCACAAGGTACTCAGGTAATGTAATTATGAGCACAAATCACCACATCTGTCATTTTATTCCCGTCCGAATCTGCCATGTCAGTCATTTATACCTGACAGGAAGGTTATTATCCCACCCCTAATAAACATACCGTTTTTTTTTGCAAACTCCCAGGTCCTCTGATAATACTAGTGCTACTGTATACTAGCACTAATATATATAATATAAATATTATTTATAAATATTATTAATATCCCAGTGATTTGAGAGCGCTGCACCCAGTTTGTGGAAGAACATTAGAACGATGTGATGCTTAAAAGCACGTAGCCTACAGATGAATGATCTGTTTTGTCACATATCAACTTTCCTAGTGCCGTACTTCTCTTTTAAAAGATGAAGTGGACGATATTGTAACAATTAATTGATAAATTGCCAAATACGTCAGGTAATTAAACGTGTGCATAGGTTCCAGTTCTTATTGATATTATTATTTTGACTTTCTCCGAACTGAAGGCCATTAAGCCAATAGCAGGCTATCCCTAGACATTTGAAATATCTTGACGCCTAGAAGAGCCTCCAGGCGTCTGTCATAATGGCCGATTTTGAATGAGGAAAAAAAATAATTATGGGGGCAGTTTAATTCTTTTTTTCCCCCAATAAATTGACAGTTATGACAGAAGCCTGGAGGTTTTTATTCTAGGCGAGAAGATACAGTATTTCAACACGTCCAGGTGATAGGGCCACACTGATAACTCCAGCTTGGTTCCCAAGTTTCTAAACCATACCAAACCATCTTTGGTATAGTGTCGCCATAATATTTGAATTGAGGAAGTGTCATCATAATCATTAGGATATTTTAGCGATCCGCAGTACGTCCTAAATGCTCCCCAGCTTTCAGATGTGAGATAAACAACGCAATTTCACTTGAGATGCGTTTTAAGGCTATGGATGAGAAAGTTAACTTATCATTTACAAACGTTTAGGTCAGGTGTGTGCTGCTTTGCGACCTATTAACAGCAAGGGTTGCATTAAATAGGCTCAATATTTTTTTACTGACGCATTTGGCAAAATTAAATTCATACGCACAAAACATAAACAAAAGCATTCACTGTGAAAGTTGCTAGGCTACATGTAGGCCGTTCATATATACAGTGGGGATAATAAGTATTTAGTCAGCCACCAATTGTGCAAGTTCTCCCACTTAAAAAGATGAGAGAGGCCTTTAATTTTCATCATAGGTACACGTCAACTATGACAGACAAATTGAGATTTTTTTTCTCCAGAAAATCACATTGTAGGATTTTTAATGAATTTATTTGCAAATTATGGTGGAAAATAAGTATTTGGTCAATAACAAAAGTTTGTCAATACTTTGTTATATACCCTTTGTTGGTAATGACACAGGTCAAATGTTTTCTGTAAGTCTTCACAAGGTTTTCACACACTGTTGCTGGTATTTTGGCCCATTCCTCCATGCAGATCTCCTCTAGAGCATCTTTTTAAGTGGGAGAACTTGCACAATTGGTGGCTGACTAAATACTTTTTTTCCCCACTGTATATTGATGATTTATAAAGCCAGGCAGATTTAACAGTTAGGCTATTGGATTGTACACCTAATTAAGTTGGGGTTTCCTCTCTCCTCACTTTTCTTAGACAATAAGGCGAGGGCTGTTTTCTCATCTCCTCATTCTGCTGCTACCTCCGCCGCATTGTTCTCAACATTGTGATGATCTGGTTCCTGTAGTGTTTGTAAACACCCTGGTAGGTTGATTAATAACCTGAACCAGATTACAGGCACTGGTTACAGTAAGAAGCTTCCTCTTGAGCGGACAGCTTGATGAAAACCAGTCAATATTCAGGTCACCAAGAAAGTAGACCTCTCTGTTTACATCACATACACTGTCAAGCATTTCACACATATTATTTAGATACCGACTGTTAGCACTTGGTGGCCTATAGCAACACTCCAAAATAAAAGGCTTTAGATGTTCCAGGTGAACCTGCAACAACAACATTCAATAACACTTGACATACAGTGCATTCGGAAAGTATTCAGACCCCTTCACTTTTTCCACATTTTGTTACGTTACAGCCGTATTCTATTCTATGGATAAACTTTTTTTTTTGAACTCCTCGTCAATCTACACACAATACCCCATAATGACAACGCGAAAACAGGTTTTTAGAAATGTTTGCAAATGAATTAGAAATTTAAAAAAGAAATACCTTTTTACATAACTTTCAGACCCTTTGCTATGAGACTCCAAATTGAGCTCAGGTGAATCCTGTTTCCATTGATCATCCTTGAGATGTTTCTACAACTTGATTGGAGTCCACCAGTGGTAAATTCAATTGATTGGATATGATTTGGAAAGGCACATACCTGTCTATATAAGGTCCCACAGTTGACAGTGCATGTTAGAGCAAAAACCAAGCCATGTGGTTGAAGGAATTGTCCGTACAGCTCCGAGACAGGATTGTGTCGAGGCACAGATCTGGGGAAGGGTACCAAAACATTTATGCAGCATTGAAGGTCCCCAAGGCCTCCATCATTCTTAAATGGAAGAAGTTTGGAACCACCAAGACTCTTCCTAGAGCTGGCCGCCCGGCCAAACAGAGCAATCGGGGGAGAAGGGCGTTGGTCAGGGAGGTGACCAAGAACCCGATGGTCACACTGACAGAGCTCCAGAGTTCCTCTGTGGAGATGGGAGAACCTTCCAGAAGGACAACCATCTCTGCAGCACTCCACCAATGAGGCCTTTATGGTAGAGTGGCCAGACGGAAGCCACTCCTCAGTAAAAGGCACATGACAGCCTGCTTGGAGTTTGCCAAAAGGCACCTAAAGACTCTCAGACCATGAGAAACAAGATTCTCTGGTCTGATGGAACCAAGATTGAACTCTTTGGCCTGAATGCCAAGCGTCACATCTGGAGGAAACCTGGCACCATCCCTACGGTGAAGCATGGTGGTGGCAGCATCATGCTGTGGGGACGTTATTTAGCGGAAGGGACTGGGAGACTAGTCAGGATCAAGGGAAAGATTAACGGAGCAAAGTACAGAGAGATCCTGATGAAAACCTGCTACAGAGCGCTCAGGACCTCAGACTGGGGTGAAGGTTCACCTTCCAACAGGACAACGACCGTAAGCACACAGCCAAGACAATGCAGGAGTGGCTTTGGGACAAGTCTCTGAATGTCCTTGAGGCCCAGCCAGAGCCCGGACTTGAACTCGATCGAACATCTCTGGAGAGACCTGAAAATAGCTGTGCAGCAACGCTCCCCATCCAACCTGACAGAGCTTGAAAGGATCTGCAGAGAAGAATGGAAGAAACTCCCCAAATACAGGTGTGCCAAGCTTGTAGCGTCATACCCAAGAAGACTCGAGGCTGTAATCGCTGCCAAAGGTGCGTCAACAAAGTACTGAGTAAAGGGTCTGAATACTTATGTAAATGTAAATTTTAGAATAAGGCTGTAACATAACAAAATGTGGAAAAAGTCAAGTGGTCTGAATACTTTCGGAATGCACTGTAAGATCTTCTCTTAAGCATTACAGGGATATGGATCTGAATATATACAGAAACACCTCCCCCATAATTATTCCTGTCTGTTCTATAGATGTTATGTCCTTGTATTGCTACTGCTGTATCATCAAATGAATTATCTAAGTGAGTCTCAGAAATGGCTAATATATAAATGTTATCTGATGTTAGAAAGTTATTGATTTCATGAACCTTATTTCTAAGGCTACATATATTAATATGGGCTATTTTCAGCCCTTTCCTGGGCAGCTTATCAGAGATAGACATAATATAGAAAAGAGCAAACAAAGCAAGTGAAAAAATGTATACATTCAGCAGTCCATTAATCAGTGTGTGTCTGTTGCGGGGTTGAAGCAACGAACCCATAGGCTTGGCTCTCTCATCCCTTCCAGGCTTCTGGGAAGGAGGGTCGCCAATGAGCCTGTCATAGCGGATGTAAGCAATGCCCCCATGCGCTCTGGCAGCTTTCATGGCTGGGATAAGTTATTTCCTCTTCTGGCACACAGCTTCAGGATAGTCCTCGTTGGGGAATATACACGTTCCTCTCAAGTTCTTGGCTCTTTCCAGAACAGCTACCTTGTCCTTGAACCTCAGGAACTAGACCGCTATCGGCCTGGGCCGGTGTTGGGTTTTCCAGTCCTGTGGGTGCACTCCACCTCAATCTTCCTGTGGTCCATCTTCAGTTTCTCCAAGATCATTTCCGTCACTTTGTCCTCAGACTCCGCCCAGGTCTCATGTGGAGATTCTGAAATTCTGTCCACAACCATGTTGTTCCGCCTTGATTGTCCCTCGAGATAATCTGATTTCTCCGTCATTGTTATCATGGATTCACATACAGAACTGATGTCCTCTCTCAATGACTTACGGATTGCTGTCATCTTGCCGTTCTCCTGTTTCAACTCATGCGCGTTGACCCTGAGAGAATTGCAAACTGTGCTTCAGGTCCTGGACCTCACTGGTCAGGTCGTCCATTCTTTCATTAGTTGACTCCACCAGTATTTGGACAAAAGCTATTGAAGCTATTTTCTTGTTGTTGTAACAACTGCTTGTAGAACTCTGTTTAAAAGATCCCTCACCTGTGATAGAGAGACGCTACTGTCCTCAACGGTACTCCCGGCGGCTTTGTTCTTTGTCACGTTAGCAACGTAGGTTACGCTGTTACTCCTCGCAGTTACAGACAGGACAGGTCGTGGAAAACTATCACTATACTTATTAAAAATAACAGTGCCATCTCCTGGCTCTGCTCTGTTTATTCCAAAACATATCAATCAATACTTAAATATGGTTTAAACATGGCGGGCCCATTACCCATTTTCAACCATATACATTTAAGACATTCCTAATGCATTGGCTCATGCATAACAGGGAAGATAAAAAAAACTACAGCAACAAACAGCAGGGATCTAGACAGCCACAAGCCCGGGACAATCCGCTGTCCTAGCCACAATGGCTAACCGCGTCGCGGGCTGCATTCCTCAAGAAAACCCTGCTAGGTCGATAGGCAGCTAACTAGCAGCTAGGCTAGCTGCTACGCCAAACAGCTCCTCAGGCCCGGCCTTGGTAAAGCAGGATCACTGGACAGATCATAGTGGTCCCAGCGGGATTCAAACTCAAAAAGGTAGCTAGCTACTAACCACATTTTTTCAATAGCCTTTCAAAACTTTCCAAAACAACAAACTTTCCAAGACAACAAACCGAGCTCTCCCTCATTACGCATTCAACAGGAAGTGACGAAGACACCCTGCAGGCAATAGAACAGTTTGAGAAAGGGAAATTTAAAAAAAGAAATGGACAAAGAGAAATATAATGTGGAAATGTGAGAATACAAGGGTGTAAAGAGAAAGAAATGTTTAGTAATTCATAATTTAATCTATTGTTTTTCCTTCTGATCATCATGGAGACATACCAGAGAGGGGTCACTAACGTGTCACTTCCTGTATATCACTTTCTGTCTCTTACCTGGCCCTGCCAATCAGATGTGTTGATGAGGATGATGCTGTCAGGTAGATGGTGATCAGACACCAGGATGTGGTTCAGCTGGTCATATACAGTCTTCCTGGGGATCTGGGGAAGACACATAGAATAGACTGAAAATAAGACCATTTTGTTGTCCATCGAAACAAAAATTCATCAACACATTCCAGATGCAGACACTGGAAGCAGCACAGGGTCAGCCATAGAGCCACGCCCCTGGAGCCGGTCAGCCACAGAGCCACGCCCCTGGAGCCGGACAGCCACAGAGCCACACCCCTGGAGCCGGACAGCCATAGAACCACGCCCCTGGAGCCGGTCAGCCACAGAGCCACGCCCCTGGAGCCGGTCAGCCACAGAGCCACGCCCCTGGAGCCGGACAGCCACAGAGCCACGCCCCTGGAGCCGGTTAGTGCATTGCTCAAGGGCCCTGGGATTCAAACAACGACTGAATATATGAATGGACAAAGCCATCGATCACATGACACCTTATAACTTCTTCTGTGTGCGATTTTTAAAATAATCGGTTCAAGGACATACATCTGGTGTATTAGAAGCAATTATTGGTACCATGATTGTCTTCAAAACATATTTTTATTTCCATGAAGATTGGCCACGAAGATTGACATTCTTCCATTCACTCTAATGGGGAATCCTGTTTTCTGCAAACAATGCCTGCAGTACCACAGTCGGCCTTGAACTACAATGGCTTCTATGAGAGGGGGCAGTCGTTCTCCCCTGGATTCAAACCCGCAACCATCTGGTTACTGGCCCACCTTTCTAACCATGAGGCTACCACAGAGACAGAACCTCTCAGAGAATTATAGACCAGCATGCTCTACTATAGTATAGTCTACAACCTCTCTGCTTCACTGTGCTGATCTGGGATCAGGTCCTACCTGTCCATGTAATGTTATTTATTGTGATCTAAAAGGCAAAACTGATCCCAGATCAGCACTCCTACTCTGAGACGCTTGATACATACGGCCCCCTGATCTGGTTTGCTTGCAGCGTGCTCCTCCTACCTGTAGATGGCAGCGTGTGTCGAGGGAGCGTTCGTTATCCAGGCTGTTGGCTCTCTCATTCTGTGGTCTGCTGGGCTGGCGCTCCTTTAGGGACGTACTCCTCCCTCTCCTCCCCACCAACTTAGGTTCCTGCCTGGGGAAGACACAAGAACACTAAACGGAGGAAAGGGGGCTTGTTTTCTTCAGGTAGAGGAGAAAAGAAAGGAATTAGGGAGTATGGAAGGCACAGGTAGACAGGTGTGAGGTGTGACCCTAAAGGAGTAGAGAGCAGGGCCGGCTCTAGGGGGCTGCAGGGTAGGGCATTGCCCACCCAAACTTTAATGTTTCCCACCCAAATGATTATGCTCGAGTTAAACTACAAAATTCCAGGATATTAGCTCAGAAAGACAAATGTTCTGTCTGCCCACCTAGAAATATCATCCTAGAAACAGCCCTAGAAAAGAGGGAAAAATAGCTATTGTTTCTTCAGTTGGAGAAAAGAGAGAAGGACATGTGGTGTTTGAGCTAGAAAGTATGCAAGACAAGTTTGGGAGTTGTGAGGGAATTCTCAAGAGCAAGGAACCTACAACCTGAAGAAGGCTGTTAAGCCGAAACGTTTGTGTATGCTACTGTCGTATATGAAGATTATGACTTTGTTAATGTTTTTAAGTGGAATCTGAGAGGATGTTTATTTGGCAGAAAGAGAGCCGTTTTTAGTGTGACACGCCACATACAACAGACAGGAAGTGTGTGTTGTAGACAGGGGATTGGACAGTAGAGGGAGCCACCCATATCTTGGGAAGATTATATATACTGGGTAAAAGCGAAGAAGAGGTTAGAGCGGCCATTGCAATCTGGGACGCCGTTCTCCGGGTGATCTTGACACCTGTAAACTCATGCTGAAATCTTGTGATATGAATAAAACTTATGATCAAGGTTCAGTATGAGCGGACTCCTTTGTTTCACAGCAATAATTACCAGCATTGACTCGACACTACACTACCCTGATTCAGTAAAAAAAAAAAAAAAATGAAGTAAGCTTCATGTGACATCTTATGGAGTGTGGACCCATCATACTTTAATCATCCCCAAGAGCATGGTCGGCTGGATGGAGAGAGGGTGAGAGTGGATTGGAGAGAAAAAGAAAATGCTGTCGCCACCTCTCTTTCCTACCAAGGTGCATGGACTGAAGCAAGCTGAAGGTGAGAAGATGCAGTATCTAGCAGAGGTTTGAGAGAGGGAATCAGAGGCTCTTTCTCAATTCATCTTTCCTCGATTCCTCGCATCCCGTCCTTCTCGCCTCCTCAAAACGCACTGGATAAGAAGGTCCGAGGAGAGGGACCATGGATCTTCCCCTCCGATACGCTTGAGAAGGAGGCAAGGAGATAAGATGCGAGGAATCGTTGAAAGATGAATTGAAAGAGTCAGCCAGTATTTACCACCTGTTGGACGGGATGGTGAGGGACTCGGTCTTCTTCATCTTGCCAGTAGGGGGCAGCTTCTCCAGGAAGGTGTCCATGTTGTCCATCTCCAACTCCGTAGTGGGGGTTACTGCCTCTTGTTGCTCCTCCTGCTGGGACGGAGCAAAGACAGGGATGAGACACAACGGGAGTTGGTAGTATCTATTTCTTTAGTCATTTATACAGGTTACTCTCACTAGCTAGGTTTCCATCCAATTGGCGACAGATTTTCATGCGAATAATCCGCAACAATACGCGCATTTTCCCACCAGAGATGTGCTTCCATCAAATGTATTTGTTGTGGATAAAAGGCTGTGCATGATGACGTAGTGCACATAAAAATAAATGTTGCGGTAAAATTCCAAAGTACCAAATACAAAATTGATTTCCACCTCATTTTAAACTTTACTGATTGTTTTTGTCACAAATAATGTTTGTGTTGTGTAGCCAATGTGCCCACTCTGGTCTTGGCACCTGGGCTCTAGCCAACAGCTCCCAGATACAGTCCGGGTATAGTCTACATGACGAGATTATTATGGACAAAAAGAGCGAGATCAGTTTTATTTGTCAAAATGGCAGCCAAGCATCGATCATCACGTCACCAGAACAAGACCCTTGATATTTATTGGAAAGGAGCATCAAGCACATCACCGTGCACTTTCACCACCCTGTGAAGATCATCATAACTTAGGACCGCACACCATATCATCGCGTGACTACAAGTTTACTTCGATATGATGGTTATTATATCAATATTTGCGCATAAAGGCGTATCCACCGCAATTTCTCACATATTTAATTTTACTCACACAAAAAGATCCCACCTTGTCTAGCGTATTTTGTTTAGTCGACATTTGGAAATTTTACCGACAAATGTTATGTTTCCATCAGGTCTGTCGGGACATTTTTATCCGACATAAAAATGTTGGACGAGTGAGATAAAATAACTGAAATAAGAAAGACACGGCCACGACCCAGAGACCAGGGGATTGGTCACGACCCAGAGACCAGGGGATTGGCCACGACCCAGAGACCAGGGGATTGGTCACGACCCAGAGACCAGGGGATTGGCCACGACCCAGAGACCAGGGGATTGGCCACGACCCAGAGACCAGGGGATTGGCCACGACCCAGAGACCAGGGGATTTAGTGTTATCTACCATACAATGGATGGATGGCAGTTGTTTAAATTTGAGAATACTTACAAATGAAGCGTTATCTGAGACATTGTCCACCTGGAACTTGTCTCCGCTGCTTTTAGTCTTGTCTGGATCCATCTGGAGGGAAAAAGGATAAGAGGAGGATTACAATTTGCGAGGGAGTTGGTTTAGCTAGAACAGTATAGCTAACAGTATAGCTAACAGTATAGCTAGAACAGTATAGCTAACAGCATAGCTAGAACAGTATAGCTAACAGTATAGCTAGAACAGTATAGCTAACAGTATAGCTAGAACAGTATAGCTAACAGCATAGCTAGAACAGTATAGCTAACAGCATAGCTAACAGTATAGCTAGAACAGTATAGCTAACAGTATAGCTAACAGCATAGCTAGAACAGTATAGCTAACAGCATAGCTAACAGTATAGCTAGAACAGTATAGCTAACAGTATAGCTAGAACAGTATAGCTAGAACAGTATAGCTAACAGTATAGCTATAACAGTATAGCTAACAGCATAGCTAACAGTATAGCTAGAACAGTATAGCTAACAGTATAGCTAACAGCATAGCTAGAACAGTATAGCTAACAGCATAGCTAACAGTATAGCTAGAACAGTATAGCTAACAGTATAGCTAACAGCATAGCTAGAACAGTATAGCTAGAACAGTATAGCTAACAGTATAGCTATAACAGTATAGCTAACAGCATAGCTAGAACAGTATAGCTAACAGTATAGCTAGAACAGTATAGCTAACAGTATAGCTAGAACAGTATAGCTAGAACAGTATAGCTAACAGTATAGCTAACAGCATAGCTAGAACAGTATAGCTAGAACAGTATAGCTAACAGTATAGCTAGAACAGCATAGCTAGAACAGTATAGCTAACAGCATAGCTAACAGTATAGCTAGAACAGTATAGCTAACAGCATAGCTAACAGTATAGCTAGAACAGTATAGCTAACAGTATAGCTATAACAGTATAGCTAACAGCATAGCTAGAACAGTATAGCTAACAGTATAGCTAGAACAGTATAGCTAGAACAGTATAGCTAGAACAGTATAGCTAACAGTATAGCTAGAACAGTATAGCTAGAACAGTATAGCTAACAGTATAGCTAGAACAGCATAGCTAGAACAGTATAGCTAACAGCATAGCTAACAGTATAGCTAGAACAGTATAGCTAACAGCATAGCTAACAGTATAGCTAGAACAGTATAGCTAACAGTATAGCTAACAGCATAGCTAGAACAGTATAGCTAACAGCATAGCTAACAGTATAGCTAGAACAGTATAGCTAACAGTATAGCTAGAACAGTATAGCTAGAACAGTATAGCTAGAACAGTATAGCTAACAGTATAGCTAACAGCATAGCTAGAACAGTATAGCTAGAACAGTATAGCTAACAGTATAGCTATAACAGTATAGCTAACAGCATAGCTAGAACAGTATAGCTAACAGTATAGCTAGAACAGTATAGCTAACAGTATAGCTAGAACAGTATAGCTAGAACAGTATAGCTAACAGTATAGCTAACAGCATAGCTAGAACAGTATAGCTAGAACAGTATAGCTAACAGTATAGCTATAACAGTATAGCTAACAGCATAGCTAGAACAGTATAGCTAACAGTATAGCTAGAACAGTATAGCTAGAACAGTATAGCTAACAGTATAGCTATAACAGTATAGCTAACAGTATAGCTAGAACAGTATAGCTAACAGTATAGCTAGAACAGTATAGCTAGAACAGTATAGCTAACAGTATAGCTAACAGCATAGCTAGAACAGTATAGCTAGAACAGTATAGCTAGAACAGTATAGCTAACAGTATAGCTAGAACAGTATAGCTAACAGTATAGCTAACAGTATCGCTAGAACAGTATAGCTAACAGTATAGCTAGAACAGTATAGCTAACAGTATAGCTAGAACAGTATAGCTAACAGCATAGCTAGAACAGTATAGCTAACAGTATAGCTAGAACAGTATAGCTAGAACAGTATAGCTAGAACAGTATAGCTAACAGTATAGCTAGAACAGTATAGCTAACAGTATAGCTAGAACAGTATAGCTAGAAACAGTAAGCTAGAACAGTATAGCTAACAGTATCGCTAGAACAGTATAGCTAACAGCATAGCTTAAACAGTTATAGCTCGAACCAGTATGCTAACAGCATAGCTCAACAGTATAGCTAGAACAGTCATAGCTAACAGTATAGCTAGAACAGTATAGCTAGACAGTATAGCTCGAACAGTAAGCTAACAGGAACAGTATAGCTAGAACAGTATAGCTAACAGTATAGCTGAACATATAGCTAGAACAGTATAGCTAACATATAGCTAAACAGTATAGCTAGACAGTATAGCTTAGAACAGTATAGCTAACAGTATAGCTAGAACAGTATAGCTAGACAGTATAGCTAGAACAGTATAGCTAGAACAGTATAGCTAGAACAGTATAGCTAACAGTATAGCTAACAGGTATAGCTAACAGTATAGCTAGAACAGTATAGCTAACAGTATAGCTAGAACAGTATAGCTAGAACAGTATAGCTTAGAACAGTATAGGCTAAACAGTATAGCTAGAACAGTATAGCTACAACGTATAGCTAACAGTATAGCTAACAGTATAGCTAGAACATATAGCTAACAGTATAGCTAGAACAGTATAGCTGGAACAGTATAGCTAGAACAGTATAGCTAGACAGTATAGCTAGAACAGTATAGCTAACAGTATAGCTAGAACAGTATAGCTAGAACAGTATAGCTAACAGTATAGCTAACAGTATAGCTAGAACAGTATAGCTAACAGTATAGCTAGAACAGCATAGCTAACAGTATAGCTAGAACAGCATAGCTAACAGTATAGCTAGAACAGCATAGCTAACAGTATAGCTAGAACAGTATAGCTAGAACAGTATAGCTAGAACAGTATAGCTAGAACAGCATAGCTAACAGTATAGCTAGAACAGCATAGCTAACAGTATAGCTAGAACAGTATAGCTAGAACAGTATAGCTAGAACAGTATAGCTAACAGTATAGCTAGAACAGTATAGCTAGAACAGTATAGCTAGAACAGTATAGCTAGAACAGTATAGCTAACAGTATAGCTAGAACAGCATAGCTAACAGTATAGCTAGAACAGCATAGCTAACAGTATAGCTAGAACAGTATAGCTAACAGTATAGCTAGAACAGTATAGCTAGAACAGTATAGCTAGAACAGTATAGCTAGAACAGCATAGCTAACAGTATAGCTAGAACAGTATAGCTAGAACAGTATAGCTAGAACAGTATAGCTAACAGTATAGCTAGAACAGTATAGCTAACAGTATAGCTAACAGTATAGCTAGAACAGTATAGCTAACAGTATAGCTAACAGTATAGCTAGAACAGTATAGCTAGAACAGTATAGCTAACAGTATAGCTAGAACAGTATAGCTAGAACAGTATAGCTAACAGTATAGCTAACAGTATAGCTAGAACAGTATAGCTAACAGTATAGCTAGAACAGTATAGCTAACAGCATAGCTAGAACAGTATAGCTAGAACAGTATAGCTAGAACAGTATAGCTAGAACAGTATAGCTAACAGTATAGCTAACAGTATAGCTAGAACAGTATAGCTAACAGTATAGCTAGAACAGTATAGCTAACAGTATAGCTAGAACAGTATAGCTAACAGCATAGCTAGAACAGTATAGCTAGAACAGTATAGCTAGAACAGTATAGCTAGAACAGTATAGCTAGAACAGTATAGCTAACAGCATAGCTAGAACAGTATAGCTAACAGTATAGCTAACAGTATCGCTAGAACAGTATAGCTAGAACAGTATAGCTAACAGTATAGCTAACAGCATAGCTAACAGTATAGCTAACAGCATAGCTAGAACAGTATAGCTAACAGTATAGCTAGAACAGTATAGCTAACAGTATAGCTAGAACAGTATTGCTAACAGTATAGCTAGAACAGTATAGCTAACAGTATAGCTAACAGTATAGCTAGAACAGTATAGCTAACAGTATAGCTAACAGTATAGCTAGAACAGCATAGCTAACAGTATAGCTAGAACAGTATAGCTAACAGTATAGCTAACAGTATAGCTAGAACAGTATAGCTAACAGTATAGCTAACAGTATAGCTAGAACAGCATAGCTAACAGTATAGCTACAACAGTATAGCTAGAAATGTGGCTAGGTTGTGTGATGGATCTCAGCCAGGGTATATTATAATAATAACAATAATATGCCATTTAGCAGACGCTTTTATCGAAACCGACTTACAGTCATGCGTGCATACATTTTTAGGTACGGGTGGTCCCGGGGATCGAACCCACTACCCTTGCGTTACAAGCGCCGTGCCCTACCAATTGAGCTACAGAGGACTATTATGTCCTGAGAGGGTGACAGTCTCAACCAAGGTATATTATGTCCTGGGGGGGTGACAGTGCAGATTCACAAAAAGTGAAATTTGCAGTGAGTGGCAAATTCAGTGTTCTCACCGGACTTGGTGGTTCTCTGTGACTCCGGCTGCTGTGGATGCTACCAATCTCTGTCTGAGAACTGGAGAGGGATAGACCCTCAAAATATGGCCTGAAAGTGAAAGCATCATAAATAAATGAATCTGAAAGAGCACTGGAGTCATAGTCACTCATTGCCCTGAAATATCTCTGGGCAAAATCACTTAATACACGGGCAAAGGTACATAAATACACACGCTGATAGCTCTCCTCTCACTCACTTGAGTTTGGGTTTGGGGGTGCTGAGGACACTGTCGTCATCGTCTAGTTCTGGTCCACTGTCACTGGGGTTCTCAAACTCCAGACTCTCTAGGTCCAGATCCTCCTCTACCTCTGGAGGGGGCTCAGCCGGGTCCTGCTCTGAGTCCAACACCTGGAACATTCAGATAGACGCACAGACACGCATACGCAGGCGCACGCACACAGAGACAGACACAGAGACAGAGACACAGACAGAGACAGAGACACACACATACGCACACAGACACAGAGACACAGAGACACAGAGAGACAGACACAGAGACAGACACAGAGACAGACAGACACAGAGACAGACAGACACAGAGACAGAGACAGAGACACACACACACAGACACAGAGAGACACAGAGAGACAGAGACAGAGAGAGACAGAGACAGAGACAGAGAGACAGAGACAGAGAAAGACACAGACACAGAGAGACAGACACAGAGACACAGAGACACACAGACACAGAGAGACACAGAGAGACAGAGACAGAGACAGAGAGAGAGACAGAGAAAGACACAGACACAGAGAGACAGAGACAGAGACACAGAGACAGAGACAGACACAGAGAGACAGAGACAGAGAGACAGAGACAGAGAAAGAGAGAGAGACAGAGGGAGTAAGAAAGAAAGATATCACCAAGAGAACAGATTTTTAACAGTTGCATAAATCTACTGAGCAAATGAATCAAAAGGACCCTAACAGTTTAAAGTAAGTGATATGACACATAGAAATGCTTAATGTTGCCTCGTTTAAAACAGTGAGTATCAGGGTTGGGGTCAATTCCATTTAAATTCCAGTAAATTCAGTAAGTACACTGAAATTCCAATTCCAATTCTCTTCAATGCTTTTCAATGAGGAACATTTAGAATTGGGTTAAATTTCTGAATTGACTGGAATAGAAATGGAATTGACCCCAATCCTGGTTAGTACAACAGTTGGACAGGTGTTACCTCATTGGCCCCAACCCTGGATAGTTTAACAGTTGGACAGGTGTTACCTCATTGACCCCAACCCTGGATAGTTTAACAGTTGGACAGGTGTTACCTCATTGACCCCAACCCTGGATAGTTTAACATTTAGACAGGTGTTACCTCATTGACCCCAACCCTGGATAGTTTAACATTTAGACAGTTGTTACCTCATTGACCCCAACCCTGGATAGTTTAACATTTGGACAGGTGTTACCTCATTGATCCCAACCCTGGATAGTTTAACATTTGGACAGGTGTTACCTCATTGACCCCAACCCTGGATAGTTTAACATTTGGACAGGTGTTACCTCATTGACCCCAACCCTGGATAGTTTAACATTTAGACAGGTGTTACCTCATTGACCCCAACCCTGGATAGTTTAACATTTAGACAGGTGTTACCTCATTGACCCCAACCCTGGATAGTTTAACATTTGGACAGGTGTTACCTCATTGACCCCAACCCTGGATAGTTTAACATTTGGACAGGTGTTACCTCATTGACCCCAACCCTGGATAGTTTAACAGTTGGACAGGTGTTACCTCATCTGAGACTCTGAACCTCTTGATCAGGGCCACCAGTCTCTGTTTAAAGTTCTGCTGCTAAAAGACAACAGGACACAGAAACATCTACTCATCAGACAGACAGACAGACAGACAGACAGCCCCATCACAAA